TTTTTTTTTTTTTTTTTTTTTTTTTTTTTTTTTTTTTTTTTTTATCAACAGTAGGCCTTATTACTGGCTTCAAAATAAACAAAGAACCTTTTCTTTATTGGAATTGTAAAAATAAAACAAATTAAAATGTCAACAATTTTTAGACATATAAATGGAAATCACAATTTGTGATTTGGTGGATTTATGAATGTTAGGAATTGGTAACTACCATATGAATCGTGTTAACGCAATGAAATGTGCCAGAATGAGAAAAAAAAACTGCATATACTCAAGATAAAGCTGGTTTTCTCAATTTGAGTTGAAATGTCATTTTTTTTTTTTTTTTTTTTTTTTTGGTCATATAATAAGTATAACGTAATGCTTACCTGGATAATCATCACCAATTTTTAATTATCTACTGTATTTAACATCAGGGTGGTTTTCCACCTCAACCTGTATTTTAGTAAGATTGATTACTCCTGTAAAAAAAAAACAGTTTGCAGTACATGTTCTGTACATATAGCCTTTTGAAATATGCCTTCAACAACATGCTGTTAATATAAACCCCTTCATTAGAAGCGGTATACCTAACGTCTTTTTTTTTGGGGGGGGGGGGGATTTTTGTGTTTTAAGCAACTTGATAATTGCATTTGTATTGTAATGGTCAGATTTTGCACAAATTTGAGCTGTACATTAGGCAGATTTTTTAAAATTACTTGTTTCTCAAACAATTTTTATTTTGAGAGGGCAGGAAATCCTATAACATGAATTTGGGTCACTTTTCCAAACATTCTGGACAAGGTTAACAGCAATTTAAATTATTAAAGTGAAGTGAATATATATGCCTCGTTGACAGATGCATCAAAATGATGAACTTGTACAAATTTGTGAGAATACTTTTCGTGCAGTGGGTTTATATATTCTTATCTTTTCTAGGTTGTGTGTTCCAATGACTGAAGATTTGTTTAGTGCTTGGAGTAAGGAGGATACCAACTTCATCTGCAATCGCTGTGCCTTTACAGTAGATTTAGTCTACGATTTTGAAGCTGCTTGCAGGCGATTGAGAAACAATCCTATCCAGGTACTGTGTTCAAGTTCTATAACCTCTGCCTGCTTTAATGCTTATTTTCTGGTTTTCGACAAGTACACATTACTACCGTGTGTACAGTGCTTAACCTTACTAATCCCAAGATATTTTGGAGCACTTTCCTACCGACCAGGGTCTTTTTCAACCCCATGGCAATATTAATGAAACACCAAAATTAATTGGTATGATACTGTATTCCACTAAATAATTTTAGAACAAAAAGTATTATATTTTTTCTAAAGATAATGTTCTAATATATATATATATGTATATATATTATATATATATATTTCCTGAAAGCAGATAGAAAATGTGACAAATTTATGACCAAACTGGATTCAATATTCATCATAACATTGTCATTTATGTCTGGTATTTCTGTTCTACTTTCTTAGGATGCTGTAGCATCAGAGCAGCTGCTGCTAACAACATATCAAGTTTCACTTCCAATGAGATCACAACCCAACCTGGCTGAGGAAGACCCAGTGTCATTAAAAGTATTGAGGCTGTTTCATCCAATAGTGCTCAATACCCATAAGCCTCTAAAGGTGGGCACTGATGGAAACTGCCTATACAGGGCACTATCCCTTGGATTATACGGCACAGAGAACCACCACCTGCACCTTCGGCTCCTGACAGCCATGGAGATAATCACCCACCGAGATGACTACGACTTTGAATCCCATCACTACAAAGGCTACCTATGTGGCACTGTTGCAGATGTCTTCAACAACAAGGTATATGCGGCCTGCAGTCCAGGCCAGTGGTCTGGGATGACACACATTTATGCTGCAAGTGCAGCACTGAAGGTGGCCCTCAGGTATTTATACATTCACCCCTTCGCAAATTAAGTGTTATTTGCTTAACGATTAATTGTAAGTTCATATTTTAAAAGTAGTATAACTTTGAGATAATTGATATGAATCCCTGCCATTTAATTTGAGCTTAATCTCATTGGATTAATTTGGGTTTAAATTAAAGAAATTTAAATTGAAGAAATAACCTATTTTGTGCATCATTATTGTCTTTTTTTTTTTCTTTGTCAAAACTTGATGTATGTGCATTATTTTTTATTATAATTTAAAAAAATACAGAAACAGTCTTTTCTATACATTTTAATTTGTTATCTGCACAATTATCTACTTTTGGAAGTCTATGAGAAATCTATGCATTTCCAGCTGAATTTACATTCAATTATATTACATTTCAAATTGAATTGAAATGATTTTACATTGAAAGTTTTCTAAATTTTTCCTAATTTCTTTTATTAGGTCCTATTGTCCCCCAGTGCTCAATGAGAATTTCTTAACAACACCTTTGTCCAGAAAAGTTATGGGCCGAGGAATTCAACAGTCTTCCAGTCCAGAAGTCTCCATCATGTGGACAAGTGTGGGTGTGCCCCAAGCGGTTAACACATTTCGCCCAGACCATTTCTGCACACTTGTGGAATTGACTCAGGAGCCAGCAATAATTATAGATCTGAATGACAGCATCACTGAGAGTGAACTGCTATACTTGAATGACAGTGACCACATATCTGCACAGCCAGAACCTAACCAGTCTACGAGGAACAGCAGGGTCCTCATTAGTGACCACAGATCTAAAGAACTGGAGGGTATTACACCCGATCTCCATTCTGAATGCAGTGATCTCGAGGACAGTAACCCCAACCAGTCCTCAAATGATAATGCAGTAGGTGGGACACCATTACGCAACAAGAGGTTTTTGCCAATGGATGAGGTAATTTTACTGCTCTCCGAATCCTCTCCATCAATGACTGAGATCCCCCCGGGCAAAAAAGAAAATGTGATGTTTCTTATTAATAATCATCAGAATGCTATTTGTATTCAAGCAGGACTTAAGCAGGACTTATCGGATGACTGTGGGGCATGGAATCCAAGTCCCTCTCCACTTACAAGAATGGCGTACACAGAGGGCAAGTGGAAGCAAGTCATACTAAAGAATGGCATGTACCATACAGAAAAGCAAGTTAGGCGTAAAAGAAACTTGATACTTCTAGAACCTCAACCAGATCATGTTATTACTCTTCAAAGAAACTATAGAACTCTAAAAAAAGACCCAAACTACAAGAGGAGAGTTAGCGTCCTACAGGAAAAACCAGATCGGTTACTAGTGGAGTATGTAGGAACTTACCCAGGCCTAGCACCACATGGCAATAGTAGACACCCTAATGCCCAGCCATACTTACAAACAAAACCTGCAGTACTTGAAGAGATTGCCTCAAGAGCAAGCAACACCAAGCCTAGGGAAATCTATGAAAGTATGCTGAGAGGGGAAAAGGAGGCAAGGAGACCGGCAAACCTCCAACAAGTGCAAAGCAAGGTTCATCGTGTCAAAAAGGAAAATGCAGGCCCCACCAACAGTACCGGAGGTCCAAATTTGGCAGAAAATATTACCCATCTACATGGAGAAATGCACCACCACCCATTCCTGAAGAAAATAATCCACGAGAAAAACAAGTGCCCCACATTTATCATGTTTACTGATAAACAAATGGCTGATATTAAAAGTTTTTGCTGTAGCGGACAAGCAGTGCAGGGGACCGTGTTGGGTATAGACAAGACTTTCAATCTGGGACAGTTACACATGACCCTCACCGTCTTCAAGAACTTGGCCCTTGTAAGGCGGTCCTCAGAGACCCATCCATTATTTTTAGGTCCAGTTATGGTACATGGCTCATCTGATTGTACATGTAGCATGAACCAATAAGACCAAAAACTAAAACAAAGTATCCTCCCATCCTGATGATTATTTGGTTTTGAACTTTTCAACATGTTTTCAAAATAAATTACTTTGAGTATTGCCTCTGGTTAGCGTTGCTAATTTTTCAATCGTTTGCCAGAAACTTTAGGCCCATCTAAATGTAACGAGATCCGCGGGGCCATCAAAATGACGATAATTTGTAGTTATCTCATTGGTTAAGTTAAATTTAAAAAATAGTAAGTTAATACATTTTTTCAAACAATTTATTTAAATCGATCAAAGTCCCCACATAAATTATGTTCTTCAAGATGAACAGATAAATGAATAAAAAAATTTAAAAATTTTCCTACTCACAAGTCATTGCTCGACTCGTCCCTGCTCATGGATTCAATTGTTTTTGCCATTTAATGATCAAAAATGATTTGAGTTCTAAATGTTTCCTGTAATGTTTTGGTTGCTTGTGCATTTCAGAAGAAAATGTCCAGTACTGTTATTTGAGGGTTTTACTGTTTTTATGGCCTGAATTGGGAAAAGATAAATACATTTAATCATTTACACTTTTTTGTTTGCAGGACAGTACTTGTAAATTAACAGTAGTAAGGCAAAGTTCTCAAATGGCAGAGAGCATGGACCCATTGACATTGTATCAAGCAGCTTCAGAATATTTAGAAATAGCTGCAATGGAAAGTCAGAAGCAAGCAAATGTGGACATTGGTTTAATGCAAACAAACATCTCTCTTGCTCATGATCTAATCTGCCAAATTCATTCTGTAGAAACTGACCCTCTTATCATAGGTGCTTTGAACCAACTTTCAACAGTTCTGTTGTATCAGCAGGAGACCTTACTTATTAAGATAAGACAGTTAGATCGACAGGCTGGAAGTTCAAGTTCTAACGATTCTATGGAATTAATAGGTGTACAGAAAAATGACCAAGGTGATATGCAGAAAAAGGCTCGGCGCCAAGCCATAGAAGAAACAATTGCACTGAAGGGACAGTTTTGTTTCAATGATGTGGCAGGTTTGGAGGAGGCCAAGCAGGCTTTGAGAGAAGCTATTATTATGCCTGTGCAGTTTCCTCAGCTTTTTACAGGTAAATTAATGTTTTTTCCCCATAATTATTGCTTTATAAAGATATATTTTATTCGTTAGCACTCTTAAAAGACGAAATGAATATAACCAATTTCTACATTTATAATTATATCAGAAAACAGGAAGTTAAAGGCATGATGCACATTGTTTCATTCAAATATTTTGCTTTTAATTAATATAATTTAGTTTTTAAATAATTTATTTGTAACTGATTTACAGTGAATTTTTCTATGTCAAATTTTAAAATAATTTTGACGGTTTGCCACTACTCAAATAGCCATAATACTACATGTACCTTGGTACCTGTATACCAGTATTTCAAATCCTTGACCATGTTTTTCTGAAATTTTTGAATGGGTTTGACATTGTAGGTGGGCGTAAACCTTGGCAAAGAATCCTGCTGTATGGTCCTCCAGGCACTGGCAAAAGTAGACTAGCACAGGCAGTGTCATCAGAAATCAGGTCTAACTTCTACAGTGTCTCAAGCTCGGATCTCATTTCAAGTTGGGTTGGAGAGAGTGAAAAGTTGATCAAAGAACTGTTTCAGCATGCTACAAGCCAGGAAGGAAGATCAGTAGTGTTTATTGATGAAATTGACAGCGTGTGTCGCAAGAGGAGCTCACACGAGGAAGAGCACACGCGTAGAGTGAAAACTGAACTTCTGAAGCAGATGGAGGGAGCTGACAGCTCAGGAAGTTCTGATAGAATATTCCTTCTGTGTGCAACAAACTGTCCCTGGGAGTTGGATCCTGCTTTCCTGAGGAGATTTCAGAAACGCATCTACATCCCCCTTCCTGATGTAGAGGCCAGGCATGCACTTATGAGGTTGCACTGTCAAGGCAATGATGTGCAGCTGTCTGATGAGGACTGGCTCCTTTTGGCACAGAAAACTGAAGGGTAAAACCTTAAAATGATATTTATATTTGGTATGTTTAGAGAGTTGGGTATAGTGTTGTTCTTGGCCGCCAACCCTATTATAACTTTAACAGAAAATACTTCGGGCCTGAAAAACATTTGAAACTTAAGTTTGTTAAGTGTTTTTCATAAATGAATAGTTCCAGTATGTGACATTGATAGGAGCAGAAAAGAAAATTACATGTAAAGTTATTCCAGCACTTTATCTACTTATTACAGGTTTTCTGGTAGTGATCTTGCTACTCTGGTGAATGCAGCATTGTTTGAGCCAGTGAGAGATTTACAAGGCACAGACTCTTGGATACAAACTCCTGATGGGTTATTTATACCATGTCACGGTGACAATCCCCTTTCAATAACAGCAAATATAAATGAACTGCCACCTGAGAGGGTTCAGGTGAGGGGGGTATGTGTGCAGGATTTCCTCAAGTCTCTGGTGAGTAATAGGAAAACAGTAATGCAGGAGGAGTTAATCAGATTTGCACAGTTTACAAATTCCTTTGGGCAGCATGGATGACTAGATTTTGCTTCAAGAACTGGTGGTTACCAGCCCTCCCCTGTGTGTATATGGAAGTAAATTTCCATCTTTTTTTACACAGAACTAGATTTGCATTGACATATTATGTTTGAGGGTATATTTATATAAGGTATGTTTTTTTTTTCCTAATATTTGATACTTTGAATATTGTTTAGACAGATATAAGACGACATACTTTTTAATTTCATTTGAGTGGTATTGGATGTAGTTCCTTTACACATAATAGATTTTTGGCATTACATTTGCACCAGTAGATAATCGATGAAGGAGATTATCTTTTTTAATTTGATTAGAGTTCTATAAAGGTTAAGTATATTGAAATAAGAGTACTAGTATCTGTATTTAGCTTGTATCCATTGATATTAATCTCGACAAATGATGAACTGTGAATTTTGTTACATGTTATAAGTTATACTGTACTATATAGATTGGATGCAAAAATTAATGCATTAAAATGTCTTAAATTCATGTATGCCACAAATAAAGTAAATCACTTTTTAAAATTCACCATATATTTCAATAAATACTTAACAGGGTTACATAGGTCTTAGGCGGAATGTGGTCTTTCCGCTTGGATGTGTGCCAAGACATCTTAGGGTACCTCTGACACATAAATTATCCATGGCCAAAACCTACAGTGGTGGAAGGCCTAAATAACAGCCTGAGATCAGGTGATCCCTACAATTGTTTTTGCAATTGTGTGTTTTATTAGTAAGTTGTGCAACCTAAAAAATCCCTAATGCTGTTGCCATGGAACTGTGGAAGTCTTCTCCAGTTTCGTTAGAAGAAGTTAATACAACTACTTGTACAGGGTTTTATGTTTGGCAGAACTGAATTGATTAGATTTTTTCAATTCACCTAAACATTCCAAGAAAAATTTTTACTAACCTTAATTTGTTGATGTGCCCTTTGTTAGTCTATGTCGCATTGGAGGCGCTCATCATCTTTTATGTCCTGTAAAAAGAAATAAAAATCGGATAAGATTTTTTCAATTTAATTTCCCCCCCCCCAGGAAAATTTTACTAACCTTAATTTGTTGATCCGCACATTGTAGTCTATGTCGAAGTACAGGTGCTCATCATCTTCTATGCCCTGTAAAAAGAAATAAAAACAAGATTAGATTTTGTTTCAATATACCTAAACATTCCAAGATCAAATTTTACTAACCTTAATTCGTTGATCTCTCCATTGTGGTCTGTGTCGAAGTGGAGGTGCTCATCTTCTTTTATGTCCTGTAAAAAGAAATAAAAATGAGATAAAATTTTTTCAATTTACATACCCCCCCCCCCCCCAAGAAAAATTTTACTAACCTTAATTCGTTGATCCGTCCAGTGTAGTCTGTGTCGAAGTGGAGGCACTCATCATCTTCTAGGTCCTGTAAAAAGAAATAAAAACAAGATTAGATTTGGTTTCAATTCACCTGAACAGTCTAAGAAAAAATTTTACTTACCTTTATTCGTTGATCCGTCCATTGTAGTCTGTATCGAAGTGGAGGCGCTCATCATCTTCTATGTCCTGTAAAAAGAAATAAAAACAATTAGATTTTGTTTCAATATACCTTCACATTCTAAGAAAAAAATTTACTAACCTTAATTCGTTGATCCACCCATTGCAGTCTGTGTCGAAGTGGAGGCGCTCATCATCTTCTATGTCCTGTAAAAAGAAATAAAAATGAGATTAGGTTTTGTTTCATTTCACCTTAAGATTTTAAGAAAAAATTTTACTAACCTTTATTTGTTGATCCGCCCATTGTAGCCTGTGTCGAAGTGGAGGCGCTCATCATCTTCTATGTCCTGTAAAAAGAAATAAAAACGAGATTAGATTTTGTTTCAATTTACCTTAACATTCTAAGAAAAAATTTTACTAACCTTTATATGTTGATCCGCCCATTGTAGTCTGTGTCGAAGTAGAGGCGCTCATCATCTTCTATGTCCTGTAAAAAGAATTAAAAACGAGATTAGATTTTGTTTCAATTTACCTTAACATTCTAAGAAAAAATTTTACTAACCTTAATTCGTTGATCCACCCATTGCAGTCTGTGTCGAAGTGGAGGCGCTCATCATCTTCTATGTCCTGTAAAAAGAAATAAAAACAAGATTAGATTTTGTTTCAATTCCCCTTAACAGTTAAAGAAAAAATTTTACTAACCTTTATTCATTGATCCGTCCATTGTAGTCTGTGTCGAAGTGGAGGCGCTCATCATCTTCTATGTCCTGTAAAAAGAAATAAAAACAAGATTAGATTTTGTTTCAATTCCCCTTAACATTCCAAGAAAAAATTTTACTAACCTTTATTCCTTGATCCGTCCATTGTAGTCTGTATCGAAGTGGAGGCGCTTATCATCTTCTATGTCCTGTAAAAAGAAATAAAAACGTGTTATCGGTGTTGCATAAATGCTGAAAAAAGTGGAAAAAACAGCATAACTTCCATATAGATGGCCAGATCATGCTGATTTTCAAACTTTACCTGCGTATTGTGAATATTCATCAGTTCTATAAGTTTCAAGCCAAAAGGTAAAACGGTTTTTCACTTATTGTGTTATCGGTGTTGCAAAAATGCTGAAAAAAGGGAAAAAACAGCATAACTTCCCAAAAAATGGCCAGATCATGCTGATTTTCGATTTCAACCTGCGTATTATGAATATTCATCAGTTCTGTAAGTTTGAATACAAAAAGTTAAACGGTATTCCACTTATCGTGTTATTGCTGAGTGCACAGCGACGGCAACAACAGACGCAGGTGACAGCTATATGTACAGACTGTGTCTGTACAAAAAAATGGCCCGATAATGCTGATTTTCCACCTTGACCAGCAGATTATAAATATTCATCAGTTCTGTAAGTTTCAAGCCAAAAGGTAAAACATTTTATCACTTATTGTGCTATCGGTGTTGCATATATGCTGAAAAAAGTGAACAAGGCAGCAAAGCTGTCAAATGTATGGACAAAAAGCAGAAAATAACAATGCACAAAAAAGGCTACTACTGTCAATTNATGTATGGACAAAAAGCAGAAAATAACAATGCACAAAAAAGGCTACTACTGTCAATTCTGATGCAAAAGTACATTATGCTTAACTGCAAATTCAACATCAAATTTTAATTATGCTCAACAGGTAATACCAATGTAAGTAAAATTTGTAACAAGCATAAGCCTTCAGGCCCATGGGAGTTCAAGTTCACACTTTGAAAATGCCAGAATGAGAAAAATGAAAATTTCACACAAAACTGCATAAATTCAATAATAAATGATAACCCAATTGAGCTGGCTTTCTAATTAGAACTGCATGCCAATCCTAAAAATTATACTGGAAAGTTAAAAATAATTATAAGTAACAGTTTTCTTTTCATAATGTTTGTAGTAGCAGTGCAAAAAGATTTTTGTCAATTTTGATGAAACGTTACATAATAAATTACAGGATAATTATCACCAATTTTTGATTATTGACTATAAATAGCATGGACATGTAGAAAATTTTATTACCATTTGGCTTCTTGTCCATGGGAGCTTCGAGTCCCACAATGAATATGCCAACATGATAAAAATGAATATTTCACTAAAATGTATAACTTCCAGAAAAAGAAGCCAATTAGACTGCTTTTCCAACTCTGGCTGCATTTTAGTTCTGTGTTTCTTTTTGAAAGTTTGACAATCATAAGTAACATGGTTTTCCCATAATGGTCATCATGGCAGCAGCACCCAAAATTGTGTTTTCATCTATTTTGATGCAATATTACATAATGCTTAACTGCATAATGACCATCACTTTTTAATAATAAAATAAACGTATCATGGATTTTCAGAAAATGTGACTAGCATGGGTCTTCAAGCCCGTGGAGGTTCTAAGTCACGCCTTGAAAGTGCCAATATGTGAAAAATTAAATTTTTACAAAAAACTGTTTAACTGCCAGAAAAATTTACCAAACAGACTGCATTGCCTACTGAAGCTTTATTTAAGTCCCATGTTTCTTTCCAGTAAGTTTGAGAACAGTAAGTGACATGGTTTTCCTTAAATGGTTATCATGGGAGCAGTGCCCAAAATAGGGGTTTCTTCAAATTTTGATGCAACATAAAATATTAGTATCATGGATATTCAGAAAATGTGACTAGCAAAGGTCTTCAGGCCCATGGAACCCCACAGTCACACCTTGAAAATGCCAAAATGTAAACAAGATGGCACTGTTCTGAAATGTTTTTTCCACTTTTAACAATTTTTTAACATATAACAAAATTAACAGTTTACTGCCATTTTTATATGATCAACTAAGAAAATTGATGAGATGGGGGAAAATATCAATAGAACAGTGTTTAATGTCCAATTTCCCCCATTCTGAGTTTCTGAACATAGTGAACGATTCAATCTGACAAACTGCAATGATATGAGTTTATTTCCATTTTTGAAACTCTATGATACAATACATGATAACAAGTTTGCCATCATTTTTACACAATCAACTAACAATGTTGTAAAGATGCAGGAAATGTCAAACAAACACTTTTACGTATCTTACTAGTTAAATAATGAGACTGTTACAATGTAACATGCCTAAGAATTGAATATGAGGAAATGTGAAAAAACAGCATAACTTATAAAATAATGGCCCGATTATGCTGATTTTCGAACTTGACCTGCGTTTTAGTAAGATTGATTACTCCTGTGAGTTTCATCACAAAAGGCGTATCGGTTTTCCTTGAAATGTGTTAACAGTGTTGCATATATGCTGAAAAGTGAAAAAACATAACTACTAAAACAGTGGCCCGATCATGCTGATTTTCGAACTTGACCTGCGTTTAATAAATATTCATCAGCTCTGTACATATAAAGCCAAAAAGTAAAACTGTCTTCCACTTATGGTGTTAACGCTGAAAGTGCACGGCGACGGCGACATGGACGGCGACGACGGACGCAGGTGATGGCAATATGTACAGACACATCTGTGTCTGTACATAAAAATGGTTTTCCACTTATCGTGTTATCGGTAAAAGTGCACGGCGACGACAGACGCAGGTGACGGCTATATGTACAGACACATCTGTGTCTGTACATAAAAAGGGAACAACACTCACTCACACTTGAGAGAAAATGCACATCAGCTTTAGAAGAGAAACACGACGACAAAACTCGACGAGCGTGACCTAAATATGGCATATGACTCTTGGTTCTAGCCTCAAAGGGCAATTAAGAACGGCCTAGAAACATGGGCATAAATTGAATATGAGAGAAATGAAAAGAGAGTATGACATGGTGGCACTTACCAATCTCCAGTACCTGGGATTTCAGTCTATTGAAGATGAATTTTCCTGTGGCGTTTATTTGACGTCCGGGCTAAGAGCTGAGTGTTATTTGTACATGTACATTTCCCAGAGCGACGAGTCCGCATGGATTGAAGAGTCGAATTCACAGAAGCACACTATGGGAGAAAGACGAAACATTCGGTGTTTTGTGCTAGTAAAGAAATTATTCTCAACTGCGATGCATTGGCGTAGGATCACACGGCGGTTCCCCAAAGAAATTCGCGCTCACTTCGCTTACTTTGTTTTCCTCTGGAGTGCAACGCAATATGTCCATCATGCTGCTCTGTGTGCTGTAAAGTTATTACACGTTCACAATTGCCCGCTCTTAGACTTCCAATCGTAGATTGTCGGCAGGGGGCGTTGGTGTCGTCACCATGTTGTCAGTTTGATCGCGGGGGTGTCGTATGAGAGTGAGACCCAAATTTCATTATTGAATTGTATATACACCAACGTTTGAAATGCATTCAGTGTTTTCATACCTTAACTTATTTGTTTAAAAAGACAAAAATATGCATTTACTTCGGAGGGAAGAATCAATGTTATAATAGTTTTTGGAGGAAAACCACGCATGCCTCTCCCCCTATTACGATTGACCGTGTCATTGCATCTTGTTGACATGATATCAACCTGCAGTTTACAAACCTGCCCCATTGGACGACCTTGTCCGCGTACACTGGGACACTGATCCACAATATTCACCGATCCACATTGCACTTTGAAGAAACTTTCATTTCATTTCTTGTTTCACGGATGATGATAATAAAGATAAAGTGATAATACTTTTTTGTTATAAACATTAATGTAGAGTTGTCCATTTTTGGTAGCTTTAATTTTACAAGGAAAAGGGCTAACGAAAGGATAATATACTTGGTGTGATTTAATATTTTACTTACTTTTTACATTTCCTTAAATATTTCAACTACTTTATATTTGCTTGAAAGAAGATGGCATATGTAGGGCTCCATAGTTCCCCTTTTCCCTGTTTTAGAACTGAAATGGTTAAAAAAAACTTTCGTGAATGTGTGTGGGAGGAGGGGGGGGGGGGAGGGGGGTAACCTCCCTCAGCCCCTGCGATCGTTTATGTTAATTACCAAAATAAACAGGTCTGTAGCCGGAAAGGGGGGGGTGGGTTCGAACCCCAGAAGAAGGTTGTCTGCTCTGGGCAATTTATGACCTACGTACACGGAGGTTTCATGGGAAAAGGTCAACTTTTTCAGGAAATCACGCCCCCTCTTTTGAAATGGCTGGGTACAGGCCTGATAGTCTGCAATTTCTTTCCTTCTTTCAATTTCTTTACTAATTAGTTGGATATAAAAAAGGTCCCTTCTACAATTACACAAATGGTCTTTTATTTAAAAAAAAGATTAACAAAAAGCATACAACCATATAATGAAGAGGACATTGCACATTTTTTTAGAAGACTGAGTCTCTAATAACCCAAATAAAAAAAGTGTACTTTTAGCTGAAGATGGAGTAAAACAATCTACCTCAACGGGGTCGGGGGTTGGGGTGAGAAGTAAAAAAGTAGAAAGTAGTCTTTGCGCCAAAGCCAAAATGATGAAATAACCTTAACGTGAAATTACACAGCTTATACGAAGCATATTTTTCTGACGGCGTGGAGATTTCATTTTTATCTCATGGAATTTAATGTAGGCGTGCTGGAAACGAACCCAGGGAATAGTTACACCTTTACCGGCCTCTGCCACTAGTATCTTAATAACGCTGTATAAAAAGTGAAAAACGCCCCTTACAATCGTAGGAGAAAAAACAGGAAAAATTCAGAGTGCAGCAAACGTCTTCGCGAGACGTGCAGGCAAATCGTGATGTCTTTATGGTGCTGTATAAAAAGTGAAAAACGCCCCCTAAAATCACGGAAGAAAAAAGGGTTACATTCAGAGTGACTCGCGCAGGCAAATTGTGTTAGCGGAGAAATTCACTCATTATGATTCCTTTATACGAAAGCTCATTATACAAAAATAGCTAATGAAATAAAACAGAATTGCAGATACCTTTTACAATTTCATTCTTTTGAAAATCGAATCATAAAAATCTAATTGTATTTTTGTCAAACATTTACCTTTATTATAAGAATATTTCTAGAAAAAGATTTAAGCTAAAATCCTGTCCTAATAAGTTTTCCGTAAGCCAAGCCCGCTAGGCTTGTTGCTTTTAGTAACGGCATGTTGATTGTATCCATCACTTCGATTCTACTGACCCTCTTTGTTTACATTCAACGCGTGCTTCACATGCTTATATTCTACTTACCGATACTGAAAAAAGAACATAATTGTCACTTAAAATATACAAAATAGACTAGGTAAAAGACTCATGGGTGCGGAAAAATATATTATGGGTGGATTATAATAATGCGCCTATCAAAATATGATGGTTTTTACATTTGTATTGAGGGTAACGAGTGGGAACAGTTGATTCTAAGCAAACAGAAAAGACGGGATTTGTAGATTGAGTTGAATAAACAGAAGGCTGAATAAGCAATGGTCGCAGAAAAAGGCCACTGAAAGATGAAATCGCTGTGTTTCGTGGATATATGACTGGTGTGCGTAATATCAAAGTCGTCTGTGTTGATGTAACTGGAGATGAAACTTATGATAATATTTCACTAGTTTATTGGATATTGAACTCATTTGCTACGGCCCTATTTTGACCCGTTTGGTGGCTTCTATAGGACCTCGTGGAGTAACTTGTATGCGGACGGGCCACATTAAGAAGACTTGGGGGAAATTGTGACATTAAGGCACAGTCTGACTGTCATCTTGCTCAACAAGAGTAATTTCCCCCAGGATCATTATCCTGACTGTAGACCATCTGAGGTGAGCGCAAAAGGTTCATCGAAGTTTTGAGAAAAACCTTCCTACCCACTGTGATCTATCAGCAGTGTTGCTACGTGAAACTTAAAACCGCTCACCGCCGTTAACGCTCTCGTGTCAGCAAACCTAGGCTGTTTAGGCTTGTCCCTCCAGGCTATCATCACGATACTTAGACTACCTGTTCAATACCCGCTAGAGACATGCAGCAAGAAAACAAGGCGGGGACGTTGTGGGATATGGTGGCCAGGCCGTGGATAGACGGCAGAGAGTTACAGGTGGTGCCCCCCTCTGAAAATGGAGGTAAGGCAAATGATCTGAGAAATTGAGTATTGGACTTAAAGAAATGTCAGTTGATGAAACATGAACCGTAAATTACTTTTCGATTTCAATGGTGTGATGTGCGTAGAATGGGTTGTTTTGCTACTTATATATGAAGCCTATTTAGTGATGTCAATCTATAGCAAATAACGAGGGATTGTGAAAAGTGAGTAATTGGAAGTCTGATCATACCCCTACTTCTACCCCCTTACCCTCAATAGACCAAAATAAACTATGAAAACAAATATTTAGCCGATACCTATATATATTCTTATTAAAGATAAATTTCCTAAATTGATGGGTTGTAAAATCATACTGTCATGAATGTTAACAAGCTTTAAACGATATGAATGTTAGGTCTCATTATTTCAGGCAACTTATAGAATTATGATTATGTATAGACAAATTTTAATGTCTCGTTTTTAATGTAAATCTATTTGGTATAACATGACCCAACAAAAGTGACATAACATTTGCAATCAGTTGGAATAAAACTGTATAGGATTTTTTTCTTTTGCGTTGTCAATGGACAGTTTTAACTTATGACCAAGAAATATCCTGAATTATGTTTATATTCCATAACGCAAGTAAGATTAATTTTCAATCAGTCATTCACCAGACAAGAAAAAGTATTTTATCATAATTATCGATATCATTGTTGTTGTTGTCACAGTGCCCATTGCCACAGAGAAGCGACTGTAAGGCAACTACCAGCATTCTGAGCTGGTATGTGCTGGTAATTGCATGGCAGACATTTGTTGTACAGTAGCAGCGTTAAGATTTTTTAAAATCCATGTATTAGATTCCCCCTTTCCCCCTGTTTTATCCGAAATATATGTAATAATATGAATAATATTTTGTATATTATGGAAATAAATATATCTAAATATATCTCGCTACGTTCTCAAGCGTAATGTGTGGAGGTCTTACAGAAGAAAAAAATAACATAAATCATGATTTTTGATCTTTTTAATTAAAAAAAAAAAAACTTCAGAATGATGTATAAAAGTTCAAAACAATATGTATAAAGGATGTTGCATAACTTTGATTTTATCCAATATACTATAGACCTCGTCTTTGTATTTCATTCTATAGTTTACGCCTTAATCTGGATTTAATCTGCTTACTGTCGCTATGCAGGTTCTTATGTTCAAGAGGTCGTGTTTTATCTACAGCACCTTTTCCACACTCATTTGTGAACGCGGTGAGCTTTTTATTCTTTGCTTTCTGTGTTGCTGCGCATTCTCTTTCACAGTTGACTTCTTTGTTTATTTATTTTTGCGTCATTACTTTCTATCAAATTTCCAATGAAAAAAGACTCAAGACTGTATCGTAGGCCTATATGAACCATGAAAATGTACACAGCGACGTGCACACGACTGTTATTAAGCAAACATGCTTCAACAATATTTTCATTACATATCATTGTTTCGTTTTACCGACAGAGCATAATACCGACTGACCATACAATTGAAAAATTTACGCTACAAACATGGGATTTTGCTCTCTTAACCATAGTTTGTCGTGCTTTATTTTGTGCTTTATGAATAGTTGATGTAACTTGAACTATATACGATACAAACAATCGTAGTCCGTCTTTTGGCCGTACACCTGTGGCCGGCGAGGTGGTTTGCTTGGAGCACACCTTATTTAGACGTTATCCAAAACATATTGGGAGGATTAAAAGACGTTTTTTATAATTTGATGTAGATTAAATTGCTTGCGTGAATTCATTTACGAAATTGGGAGTTCTTCCAAATATGCAATGTCGATGCGGCTCAGATTTGAGCAGAGGGCAGAGAGCTACAGACTCGCGGTTATAAAGAGGAACAAGAGAACAGCTATGAAACCATGAAATATTTCAGTTATTTTTACAAACGCTGCACTGAATGCTGATGTGCGAGTGAAACACCAAGAAGTTTACTGGCGATAATCTAACTCACTGGACTGACCAGACCGGAAAAAAACGGTACTGCGTTGGAGATATAACCCGTAAATAACTGTGAAAATCTAACTTGAACATCACATTAATAATGTCCCAACGTGCTGTAAGCGCCCCTGCTTACGGCAGCAGGAAACGCAGCAGTGTGAGTGCACGCGCTATCAGACAAGCCAGAAGTGCCGCTGGATCCCCTTCTCCTTGGTGGAGGAAAAAATCGGCCGAGGAGGAGGCTCAAGAAGCAGAGAAAAGACGCGATGGGCATTGGAAAGGTCTTATTCGTGGTTTACTTGGTACGTATTTTGTCGCACCCAGCTGCCGGACAAGGGTTCTATTGTGGAAATCGAGCGCTGAAGATTTATTTTGTAATACTTGAAAAAAATTAGTTTGAAAATTAGTTTTGCCAAGGTATTTGCTGTTATTTTGGTGGATATAAATCTACCCTCATTCTCTCTGTAGAAGAATTAGTTATTTTTCAATTGAAATAAAGGGAATCGATTAAATTTTTTTCTACTAAAATGAAAAATGATCCAAGAAATGTAAAACGGACAATGGCACGTACATGGTTTGGTAGTTAACCAATTTGATTAATCGTTAGGTTTTGGGAGTAACACCTATTCTATTGAAATTGTCTACCGTGCTTTATAGTGCACTAATAGGCAAATCTTAAGGAAAGGAATTGGTTTTTATTTTGAGCATTTATTTTTTTAATGCAATTTTTAAAAGAAATATATTGCAATTTCCATAATGACAATGTGCCATACAGGTGCTATATAATGGCAAATAACGGCATTCGGGACAACTCGGCTAGTTAATGATGAAATACGGAATCACCCGAAGTGTAGGTCGTATCGAGGGATACTTGCTCAACTACCGCAATGGTCTTTTATGTCTCCACTTGCATACTCCCATTCACAACAAGAAAGAAGGGAACAAAGAATATTGGTTGTTCGAGATATGGCCAAACAAGGCCGCTTTTATTATATAACCCCACTATCCTAATTATTTTAACAATGTAACAACTTGTTACCTGTATTCAATACGACTCATCATCCTAAAAATTATGATGCAATGAGTCAGCAAAAGTTTTTATTTACAAACAGTTTTGCACAAATTTCGTTTGTGGGGTTGCAAAGAGGTCGAAAGACCTTCTCGTAGTTGAACCTCAAAAAAAAAAAAAAAAAAAAAAGAATCAACAGTCTTATGAAAAACATTTGTTTAAGGAAAACACTTTTATTTTCTTTTATAATTGCACTGTAGCATATAAAACATGAACAAAATATAAAAAATGTCCATAAACAAAAATGAATTTTTGCAGCCTGCTGCATATCGAAATTTGCTAACCAACTGGCTTTGATAGTAAAAATACGGGTGTGACAGGAATGGTAGTCCGCCAAGAACCGTAGTCTGTTCTCCATTACTTTGTATAGGTGACATTCGTCCGATATGCTGTAAAAACGTCTGTCACAATCCTTTTTCTATTTTCTGTTTCTAAGAGCAAGTTTATTTGCAACAAATACAAGTACAAAAAGTGAAGTCGATACATAGATATTGGGATCCGGAGTATTGTGGGCTCTCTTATTCGTCGTGTAGCTTGAAGTAAGAAAACAAACAATATTTGAACTCTGTATTATTTAGTAATGATCCCGTTAAGATGCTAATTTCCCATCGCGTTACAGAAAAATGTTGACTGTAGAGACTCAATACTAAGGCTGGTGAAATCAAGAGCGATTGAAGTGTTTTCTTCCCAAATAACTCTGCATTGAAGTGCTCGTTTCACACGATGTCGGGTGACGAAATCGAAATGCCTGCCCTTTCAAAATCTTTGTAAGCAATTACTACCCTTCTGTTTTCATTTGCATTGTATTGATTGGCCGAACGTGAAAAAGTTGAATAGGCTAATCGGGAGCTTACGGGAGAATTCGATAAGATAAGAAAACTTTCGGTTGACTACGCTTAAACTACAACCTTAATGTTCACACCGGTAACCCGGCATCTGGCTTGCAACCCAAACACGGGACACAAGTCATCGCAGATATCCAGGAATTAGTCGCTGAAGCCAGAGAGGAACAGCGGTCACTTTTCACGCCATGTCGCGACCACCTACCCGAAACTCTGACCGGCCTAGTTCGAGATTTAGTTTCTGCGACCAGAGTAAGTAGGGCTTTTAAACGTTGGCGAAATGTAAAATTCAGCATATGCCAATATATTGTGTATAGCGATGTAATTTTCCCCCATTGTTGCCGTGTGGTTTTCTCACTATTCCTTCATAGATGTTTGTTATTAAAAAAATTAAGTAAAGAAGGATAATGTTGTAAGGCGTGAATTCAAGGTTCTAGAAAACATAACATTTGTAACCGTATGTAAGATTGCAGTTTTTTAAAGAAAAGAAAGTGCAGCATGGTGTCCTATACTAATGGAATTAGCTCATGACGCGTAAGACCGTGGTGATTTAACATTAATTGGTCGAATTCGATCCGCCACTTACTTTGGTGATAACTGATGATATGAGATTGGGTTGTTTTGATATCTGTGTCACTCGTGTTCCGGAAGAAATGAGACTAAATTACAATACATGTACCTTGAAGTATTCACTTAGCGTCAGTAACATGTAATGTTGTTTTTTTTTTTTTTTTTTTTTTTTGTTTTTTTTTCAAGATTCGTTTGCATACTCTTAATATACGTCCACTTGCAAATGAGATCGTACATGGATCTCTCATTTTAATCGAAAAACATACTTAGTGGAAAGTCGGGTCTTAACCAAGTTCTAATTATTTCGTTTAATTGTAAATACAATGGAAAAGTTATTTTCAAAACAATACAAAGAGTCCATTCAAGGAGGTATTTACGGTATAAAATAATGGGTATTCGTCCGGTTTCAACAGTAAGTCGCTAATGTGTACTCAGGGTACTAATGTGATGTATTTGCAATAATTGCATTACTTTACCCGTAGTTCTTCATCTTATGTATGATATAGGCCTATCAAAACCCTCAAGATTTATTTTGCTGAAACATAATAAATGTCTTCAAATATTCTCAGTTTCATTTAAAATGATAATTTACATAAAATGCATGTTAGAGTTAGGTACGGCTATGGGAAAGGTCCCTAGCACGTAAAAATTGAACGCTTTGTGGAACATACAACCATGCCTATTAGTCGTTTTTTATGCAATCGATTACCGCTTGCTTTAAAAATGTCCTAAATGCTATATTCATGAACTAAATGTTAATCAAATATTAGTAGTTCATCGGTTATAACACTCTGTCACCAGTCGCCGCAATTGGTAATCGATTCCGTTTTAAATGAATGAACTGCAATGACGTCGGTCTTCAGCGCTGCAGACTTGCCCCCTAGCAACTACCCAACGGTCGAGCAGCACTTCGCATGCGCACGCTTCCTGCTTTGGTCTGCTCGCGATGTTTATAAAATGGGTGAAAATAATGTGCCTTGTGTATTTAGTAAACCGCTCTGCTGTTGTTTTTTACCTCTGACAAATACCCTTCTTTCTTTATGCTCGTTTTTTAAGCACATGTGTTAAATATTGTAGGCAGTCTAAAAAGCAATATGTGAATAGGCCTTACGTCGTATTGCTTGTACAAGTTAATCAAAAGTCTGCAAAAAACAAGCATTTCTGTAACCTGTGCTTTTACATGGTTAGTCCCTATGATAAATGCATAGATTTTACCTGACGAAGGGACACAATATTTTTTTCGGGTTATAGAAACGAGTAGAGGCCAATAACTCACATAAATGGAATTATAAATAACTTATTAGTAATCAATGAAGAAAACGATTTAAAGATCATCAGTCAAAGGCCACGTCCACGTAACATGGTAAGGCTGGTTGGAGTTAGACAGAAGATTAGTCAATAAAGTAATGATTATGTGCATATTTATATGAGGTAAAGAAATCACCGTGGCCATATCAGCATAAACACTTGTAACCACTATGCGAAGAAAGGTGTAAATACAGTAGGATTCTTTGAACTAAGATATCCCATGATATTTATATAACAGCTTTATAATGATTGCGTCTCGGAGGGCATCTGACTCTCCTAGTTCGCGGAAATCGAGCGGGCGTGGTGGAAGTTTCATATTCAGATCAGCTGCGATATCTCAGGTGCGGCACCAGGAGCGTCTCCATGGTTACTGGACGCAGTTAATGCAGAGTCTTCTTGGTACGGTTAGGAAGATAAATAGTTGATTTGTGAATTGGTGAATTTTTTTTTTTTTTTTTGTTTTGTTTTGTTTGGTTAAACTTATATCGTTTTATTCGCCCGTGATTTAAGTTAGCTAATTTAAGCTATGTGGAACTTTGCACCCTCTCCCATAGCATAACATTTCTGTTATTTATGCATACGATAATTTTTCCTTTATGCCACAGCACAGTCACCCAGACATCCCCAAATGTTCGAGCAGAAAAGCGGCAGATTAAGCTAAACGTCTACATGTACAATGTACATGTACATGGACACTCTAGAATATTTCTGTTATTTATTCATTTGATAATTTTTCTTTTCAGGCAACACTACTGTCACCCAGACTACGCCAAAAGTTCGAGCAGAAAAGCGGCAGATTGAGCTCAACGTCTACTTGGACCAGATTGTCAGTGAAAAAGTCCCAGAACTAGAACGCCAGGAACGTCGCAACTTCGAGAAGGTACAGGCCATAACCAACCGACTACTGACCGTTGCATGGCGTGGAAACAGGAGATGTAACGCCTATTTTGAAGACCCGGGACTGGCAACCCAGGTCGAAACTTACCAAGCACTGGACGTGGATACGTTCGATTGTCGCATGTTTGTTAAAGGATTTGAAATCCCAGGAAGTTTTCAGGTGAGCGTTTGATGGGATATAATACAGATCTAACCATTGTTAGCAAACGTTTTCTTGACTTTCCTTTTCTCCGAGTCATAGAATTAATGTTGTTGCCACTTGCTCTAAAATTCGTGCTGGTTTTCATGTTCATGCAGTCTTGAAATACTTTTAATTGACCTGAGCATAATAGATAAAAAGTATTAGTTTGGACCCATATTTTATGCCTACGTTTCGTGAAATTGTTAAAACAGCTTAATATGAAAATAGATTGTTGAGCAGAAACATCATGAAAATTGATGGATACAAAAGCTAAAGTATTTCTACTCAAAGTTCATCAATGGCCTCATGGATTTTTTAACAACAACCGTCTATAACGTGTCGGAAACTGTATCCAATCTTATCACAATAAACAGAGCTGAAATGGTGTCGATAAAGATTGATCCAAAATAGTGTAAAAAGGTTTTTGAAGACCACCCCTTTCTATTACACCTTGCTGAGGGTTTTTTTTTTTTTTTTTTTTTTTTTTTAGTAGATGCCGTTTAATTGATTTTGAGACCAAGGTTGTCATTTTTCATAGTAAGTTGAGTAATTTTTAAGTTTGGCCTCTCACCCTACGCTTGATTTTAATTGAATTTGATTGAGGACATGTATGTGAAATCCTCTTAAATCAATAAAGCAGCAACGGTGGTTTTTCTTTCCAGCCAATCTCCGGCCTAAATCATGACGTACCGCCTGGCTATGCGTTCTTCTGTGTGAATGAACGCTTCACGAGGGGAGAGAAGATCTCGGTGAGGACTGCGTGGCAGGACTGCATTGATGGAGACGGATTCCTCATGCCCGGAGCCATTTATCCCTTCTTTGCGAAAGGTATATTCAGTCTTAAACCCTACGTTTTTGCTGTATTTTTTCATACATTAGTGTGATTCGACATTGTTATTTGTGACTGGTAGAGAGTCTTGAATTTACATTATATTAAGTTAAAAAAATCACTATTTTTGAACGACATTTGAAAGATATACATGGTGAAAGTGTAGTGAAGGTATTAGATTATGTTGCATTCTCATTATTTTGAAATGGATAAACGTGATTAAAGATTATTATTTTTCCAATTAAATTTTTTTCAGCCATTAAGGATGCCCTCCAATATCTCCAAGACAAGGGCGACAAGGACATGAAAAAGGTTCTTATGATAGAAACCAAACCGAGCCTTGTGCTAAAGATTCTCACAGACGAGAAAGAAGAGAAAGACGGGGAAGATAAAAACAACACCACATCGAAGTCCAAAGAGAGTGACAGCGATGAAGAAGAAGAAAAAGAAGAGAAGAAAGAACTGACTGTGAATATCGTAATAGCCTGTAAAGGGTATAACTGGCCGCAAGGCGCCACAATACAGCAACCCCTTCCAAAACAAAAACCTTACTGTGAACTCGGCAGACAATGTTTGGCTGACATAGACGATGCAATGTCAGATGGCGCAAGTATGTGGTATCTGGAAGCAAGACCAGTCTCTTTAAGCAAAACGCTACAGAATTCAAGATGCCATGCAAACGTCTCGCGAAATCCCGTGAAATGTTCGAGACTGTGGAAGTTCTGCTTTGCCCCGGTAGAGGATCATTTTTTCAAGACAATTTGTTCATTTCGCGGCGGGGTAGGTGCTCCTGCCACCGTGATACGTGTTTTACAGCTCATGATAGCAAATGGCGAGGTCCAAAACAGCTGGAAACCGTTAAATCAGCACGTTCTGAGAACATTAATGTTTTGGCAGTTTAAGAAACACGCTGCCAAAATTAAAACATTTCCCGAATGTTTCTTCATGTTTCTCGGACTCTTACAGCAATGTCTGCAAGGGATGTCATGTCCTCATTTTCTCCTTCCAAATTTAAATATTATGGAGAGCATAGACAGTTCTTGTGCCAACGTAATGAAACAAGAGATTGCCAAAATACTTGAGAGCTTAGAGCAGGATACGACAAACCTTCTTATCTACACAGGAATAAAGCAACGTGACGAGGAGCCAGACCAGGAACAGGGAGAGACTGTAAATCAATAACGCCCCTCATTTTTGAAGAAGTTTGACTTAAAATAACTTTATCACTACAAAAGCGCAATAATCTGCCTAAACAAACCTTGCCCTTCTCAGCAGTGTACCTATATAATAGGCATCCAAACACATTGCATTTGGCAACGCTAACAGATCATTAAGCCTTGCCATGAGATAGTCATCTTACAAAACCTTCCAAGTAGAGTTTCTGTCTTTTTACAACGGAGAAGTGTCGTTTAATTTTTTTCCAATACGGACCTCATTTTGTTCTGTATCAGTTTTTTTTTAATAATGTCTTTTCACATCAGAGTAAACACGTTTTCGATATCCACCTTACTTAGATCAAATACGTAGATGACTTCATCATAGCATAAATTCAGGTTAATTTAAACGCATGATGCAAAGCAGGCAGGTTGAAAAATAGATTACGCTACGGCTGTTTGACAAATTTGCCCTGTACATTATATTTGCTGTGATGTCATAACTGTAAGAGAATAAAAGCATGATAAAGCTCCGAATGACAATTAAATTAAACTTTGTTTTTTGGTTTGTTTCTTACGTGACTCCTACCAAAAGATGTATTCGTCAATTCATAACGACAAAACACCCAGTTGCAGATAATCTAAAACGTTAAAGGGTTTTAAATTNAGGCCAGATTTATTGTCTATATATTTAATTCAAAAAAAGAAAAGAAAAGAAAGCTATTAATCAAAAGTAATGCAAAGATGCTCAAATGAAGCTACAGAGAATATGAAATCAAATTCCGTATACATAGTTCTCGGCCCATAACTTACTACGAACATTCAACATGCAATCTAATAGATCAAAAAGGAATTAATCAAATAATCTACCATGTGGAGAGCCCCTTGTACGTACAGGCCCGTAGACAGGATTTGGGGGGGGGGGTCGAAAGAATCGCCCTTTTGACCGGCAAAGGTCTACTTTGAATCAAACCATGACCCTTTGCCATTTCGCAATTTGAGTCAGCATATGGGATAAAAAGGTCCACTTTTTAAAGAAAAGGAACGCCCTTGTCTACGTTCGTTGGTTTTCACGGTCAAATTGCTCTCAAACACAGGCTCCACGACTGACGGTCACATCATCCAGTCCGATCTCGTGCAGTCGCGGGTTCCAATCAAACAAAACTCCAGAAAAAACTAACTGGAAAGCCTGGCCGGGTGATCGTATAGTCACCTCTGCCTCCCGCCAGGGGGTGACACTGTTCGGTCCCAACTGCCAATTCATGGTGAGTATACAGTCCGACCATACGTAAAAGGACCAATATGAGTTAGGCCCCTTTCGCATACGAACCAAAAGTGTAAGGCGTGAAAACGAGTGAACGATGTATTTAAACCGTATACACATGAAATCAGAGTTGCCAGTGATATTTTCTGACACCAGATTAGATGCCACAAAAGTTGAACGGGTTTCTTGATTGGTTAGGGCTGCATAGATTTTCCTCTGGGGGCTGTGTGGATCGGAACTCACTATTTTCCAATATTGTGAGTCTTTCCAAGAGCAGAACGACCAATCAAAGTTACAGCTACTGATGACGTCACCAGATCGTCCACTCACAGCTCCAGAAGTGTCATCATCTTGAGTACAGGCTCGAACGATGACGTCATCTACTGCTAAAAACATTTGCGGGTCATTTGAAAGTGACCCCTCAATTTGGACTTGGTAGGCTTCAAACGACTGGGGTAGGGGAATGACCATCGTCCTCCAGGATATAAATGTGCTGACTTTGTATTTCCAAAGTTCAGTTTGGTTTTTGGACACCCAGTCTTGTACTTTGATGGACAAGGAAGGGGGAGCTTTTTGCTTTTTAGCACAGTGTGTCTTTACCCCAGCACTGAAATGGAACTCCAAGCACTGAGAACTGCTCCTTTCTACGATAGGGGAACTAGCTCTCGCTGAGAGTGTATCATAACTGTCCTCTCCAGAATAGTTTAAATAAATAAAATATTTGCCTCTGGGTGTTGGTGCAGGGTCATTGACCAAGGGGATGTCATCACCCTCTCTTGGAAAGTCCAAGTTCGATGTTCTCGTCCAGTCTGCATTTCCGCGAATCTGTTCCGTTCTAAAACCGCACAAATCACCTTCTTCAAAACCGCAAGACAGCGCAACGCCTCTGGCACATCTAGGGGTACTTCCACTCCAAACTCCACTGTCCATGCATTTTAAAGATGGTTTACCCACCATTCTGAAGCCATCGTCACATTTGAAGTACACGGTTCTACCTGGGTTAAATTCATCCCCATATCTCTCCCCGTGTTGAGGAACACCGGGATCCACACAAGCCTTTATTGGTAGGCATTCAGAGATGCTAGAGGCACCGCGAGTCTTAGTTGAAGTATCACTGGGGCATTGAATGCAATCCAGCTGCCCTTGATTCGGTTGATAGAAGCCAATGTCACAAAGAAAGCATTGTTTTGGATCCATGTAAAAAGTGCCTGGCTGACACTCAACACACGCTGAAAAGTCGGAGGTGAAAATGGACCCCAATGGACAACCGCGCCCCCCTGTGGCCTGTGTTGACGAGATATCAGGCGGAATGAATTGGCCGTCAATAATGATACCAATCTCCCCATTTTCAACCTTCGATTTGAAATCTTGACCAAGTTTGACCATTTCGTCGTACACTTGCTTTGCCTCGCGTGACTTCACGTCAGTTCCGAGGTATTTTCCGTGAGATCCCACCGTCAACTTTGAAGTTGCATTATCAGGAGCTACTATACATTCAATGATTTTCGGGGGCTGGAAACTACACAATTGAGCCTGGTGGCAAATTGATGACCCTACGAATGTATCAAAATGGGTCTTTATTTGTTCAGCTGCGTCGGAATATTCTGGAGAATCGCAAGTTATTGGCCTTGGCAATGGAAACTCTGTTTGTAGATAAAATTGCAAGTCATTTTCCTTTAGCTCAGCACAGTTGGGCAGGGTGCCATTAGGGTTATCCGTGGTTTGATGTGGCCACAGGAACGCTGTGAGAGGACCACACGTGTACTTCTCCAAAACTGGACTGCTGAAGCCATAACCATCAGCACACGTCAGACTGCATGTGGTGGCGTCATTTTCCTTCTGGCACTGCAGGGCGGAGTTATTTGGGGCGACTAAAGGGACACAAGAGCGACATAGCTCTGTATTACATGGTTTCTTCTCGACCTGACCCGGTGTCGGACAGAATTCCGCATCTGTCACGCAACTTCTGGTCCTCATTTTATGCCCACCACCGCACGTGACACTGCACTCGCCCCACGCTGTCCAAGGGCCCCAAATGCGACGTTTAATACAATCATCATTTTGTTTGGACCCTGTCAATAGCGTTGTCTCTCCGTTCGGGCAAGTTTTACATGACGTCTGCCCGCTCTCATTTTGATACGAGCCAAGGGGGCAGAGCGTGCACACTTTCGAAGTCGAGTTGTAATAAGTTCCTTGTGGACACGCGATGCATGCGAGATTAATGTCACTTTTCACAGTGCCTTCTTTGCATTGAATATCAATACCATACTTGGATCTAGATATCTTAGAAATACCGACATTGCTCGACGCTGTTTCGGTGGCTCTGTTAAGGGCGGAAAATATCCCATAAAGAGTTTGGCGGCGTTCAAAACCAGACGCAGTAGGAATTCTTTTCACCAGGACCTCAATGGTAACCTGGGCAGTGCCCTCTCCGGTACCTCCAAGGACGCTGTCATTAATGCGCTGGTGTTCAACAAGTTCTTGAAGACTTCTCTTTTTCCTTTCATTTTTGGAACAATTGATGCGCACAGTAAAATTTTCTATGACGTCTTGGTATTCATCCTTCAGGAAAGTCGGTAGTTCAGCAATCATACTCTCTTTTAGTTTTGCAAGGGAGCTATTATCATTACAACTCACGTTAAATGTGCTTGTATGGAAAAGTCCAAGAAAATCGTCCGGCATTTTGGAACACGGCGGTATGGTAAGGGATGGTTTCCAAACCCCGTCGTCAGTGCTGCACCAGTAGAACCCCCGGTCCGTTTGATAAAACATGGCGTTGTCGTAACCAGGATTACAGTACGCTCTACATATGATCTTATTGTTCCCTGTGCATGACACATACCCGTTGCCCGGCGGCGGGATATCTGGACAACGATGGACACACACTGGAGATATGTTCTCAGACCAAGTCCCATTTGCAGTACACTCTGTTCTGGCTGTTGATATATCTCGGGTTTCACCGGGTATCACCAAGGCATAGCCTTGTTTGGAGCACCGGAAGTTACACTGTGTGCCATAGATGTTTCCAGGCGGGTCGCATTCCATTTCCCCGTGTTCAGGGGCTGTCATGTTGCTTGGACACCTTGTCACACTGACGGTGACGGTAAAGCTGCAATCGTGAGGTTTGCCCTGGGCATCGTTTCCGCGGTAAACAATTTTGTAGACTCCTGAAATAATGAGAAATACGGTCACGCCAAACTGATCATTAAGGGGAAACAGGCAATACTTTTGTATTAATCTTAATTTAAAGCTCGCAATTTTAATTACAGAATTACTCACAAAATTATTGCAAAAAAGATCACATTAAGGTACAATTTTTTTCAGTCTGCATTTTAGAACGAGCTTGAATATAAGATAATGCTTTGTAAGGGTAGCAAATTATGTGAGTAGAGGTATTAAAGGAAGGGTATTGAAATTACCTGGAACATTGATTCAAAAGAAGTAGGCAATTTTCCCGCCAACAATTTGCCCAGGCTATATTGTGTTTAGGTTGTTCTGTATGATATTCGTCCTGTTACATTGCTGCATAATAGCATTTCTACTCTGTATGTAACGGAATTTTGATTTGACTATGTAGAGTTATCAACCAAACAAATATGTAAAAATAACTGTAATATTTCTTACAGAAACAATTTATCAGTCTGTTATGAATTTTACATTTCAGTCATACATATTTATAGGTGCATTTTTAATTTAATGAAGCTTGCGTGGGATTGCTATATTTTTCTTGAAATGCTTTTGTGTTTTCTATTTTAAAGTAAAAATGTCCTTATTCGGCAATGGTCTGACAATGCGGATACATGTATATTGTTCAGTCACTATGTGTAGAATATTGCAAAGTTATTTGTAAATAAATAACTAAAAAGTACATTATCTTAAGACTGGGTGTTCGAGATATGGTCCATTTTAGAATTGTCTTAAATTATTTTTCGGTTGATGTACATTGTAACATAGCGATCAGGTTGTACAGTAGTTTTTTTAGCTTTATGTGTTTGCTAAACATAAGTTCCGGTTTGATTTTTTTAACCCTACAGCTCTTCTAGATTATTTGATAAGTGATAGATATAATTCAAAATTCACTATAAAAATACTGCAACGATGATACTCGGTTGTTCATTTCTTTCGTAAAGAGCTAGCTTTCATACTTTTCCACTATCAATTTCAAATGTTTTTGAATATTGTGGTAATGTGATACATGTAAAATACCAAACTTGGAAAATGACAACTATTTTTGTTTACGTACTATGCGTCATTGGACACCATTGACATATCCAAAATTAAATTGTGGAAATAAATAATTACTATTACAATCCGTTCTTGCTGGATTTTACATTATGAATTCGATTTTTAAGGACAAATAAACGTTTGCATACCCTCTGCTAGCGCTCCGCCAAGCTCTGGCCCTTGGACGCGTTCCGGCGGACTCCCATACGTTGCCCTTACAAACTCAGCAGACGTGTAAGCGGTGGTTCGCCCTCGTGATGCCGTGTAGAACCTATCAGGAGGGCATGTCAGTACGTAGGGGGGGTGGTCAGGAGTACCAGGGGGTGGCCGCCCTCCTCCCTTTTTCCAATTCTGATTCGCTGCTGTCGCGATGGAGACCACGGCGATCGTTGTTATCGCGGTCATCACGGGGATAATGACCGCTGCCGGGTGGCACACCTCCGAATTTCGTATGAGAAACGCTATAATAACAATAGCTATGGTCAGTAACAGTGCCTTCTTCATTATGTTTTTGCTTTACACCAATAACTTTCAGTGTTTTGCCCTTGTGTACACTTCAGTTGACGCTAGATCCTTGATTTTACAGGAACCTAACCTCAGTTCACAGCGAAGTAGGGAACTCCGTGACAACTGAAACACGAAGTAGTACTTACATCTACGCTCTGTCACTGCATCTTATTTATATCTCACCCGGTGAAGTCAGAATGTTAATGCGTCCTTGTTCAGCCCTGTAATTAAGACAAGTATGTCAAGGATTTGCCCGCGAGGTTTTCAGTTTTATTTCTAAGCAAAAAACACACATGCAATGTCACCTTGGCTGATATTGCCCCAGCGGATGTTTTTCTTCCCTTTCCTTGTTTCTATCTAAATTACAAGATCTTCGAAGAATTAGAACGGAGCACCATGCGCGAATTCATGTGTTTATTAAACATCCATGCCGGTTAAGAACAGGCAAAGTCACCTTGCATCCTATTTACAGGAACTTGATTATTTGTGAAGGAAATTAGTTGCAGACAATTTCACGTTAAAAACGTGAATCAGATCAGATGACCGGGCGGTACACATTGAGCTGCTGACACTGGTTGGAAACTGACCTAACCGACAGTACTGTTATTGATGGCCTTTTATTGTACGTAAGTACACGTTATTTATGTATTCTGTCCTATTTCTTTGATAATTTTTTTATGGGGGAGGGGGGGCTTTAGTAAGGAAAGCATCTTGTCGACCTGTACTTGTCAACGATCTGTTTGATTTTTTAACAGCGAGTATCTTACTTCTCTTATTATTTATACGGTAACTGCTTAATGCATTGGTTGAAGGAGAGAAGGAGTGATTTTTCGTGTCTTTTCTCCTCTCCTCCTCTATTTCTAATATTCTGTATTCACCCGCAGTATTGTTAAATAGCTGCAGTACACAAAGAAACGTAGAAAAATAATGCTTTGGGCTAAACAAAGATATCAAAAACTGTGCTATCGCGATCTTTCTGACTGCCAAAAAAGCTCAGTAAAGTCGTGGGTTTAGGACATGGTTTTGATCATTAATATTCCCACTTGGATATATGGCATCCTTTGATGTCTCGATGGGCACATAAAAATGCCACGCTGCTAACATTAATCGCGAGTCCTTTTTGTTTATAAATTTTTGAATGTCATTTGAGTCAATGCAGTGCTTGATGATGATAAACATTCTAAGGCGGGAAACAATAAAGGCACCGCTGCTCCACTGTTTAAGTGATGACTTTTCATGTGAGATTCAAAGTTCCACAATAAATACATTGTAAACTACACATAGAAATATAAAAAAAATTCCATTTTACATTTACCACCAAAATGGCTGCTATAAGAATTATTCTGAAATCGGAACTTGTTGTTGGACCGCCTGGACCTTCATAGATGGCTATGTTCCGTTATAATCTTCTCTTAAGAGATTATTAAAAAGGGCTTATTTTCATATTTTGGTTTACAGGGATATATTTTGTATATTATGTCGCTGGAAAAACAACTGGAACATTTGTTTCAGTCACAAGTGTACTGTAAGTGCCATATTGTGATGCACAGTGCGGTCATGTAACACTGAAAATGATAAAATGATCAAAAGCAAGAAATGCATGGCCTTGGTCCTAATTTTTTAAAATCATTTTCTATTCCAACAATATGTACTAAAAATCAATTAATCAAGTTGAAGCGAAAATATACGTATATTAAATTGGCCGCGGCCACTCTTAGAAAAATTAGTTTAAAAAACAGCATTGTAGTTGATCTGGCCAGGAAAGTTATTCCACTTAGCCTTTTTTCTCCAGTTAAATGCACTGTCCTTTGATTGTTGCTTTTCGTGAACTTAAAGAACCCAAGGACCAAAACATGGGCTGGCAGGGCATGTTCTAGGTCCGTTAACAAGTACACATTTGAGAAATATCATGTAATGAATTATACAGAACTTACACATTAAACTGCGTTATAGCCCTCATTAATGTTAAAAATCAAGTTAGAAAGCACGTGCGCCTAAATTTATGATTAATGTGACGCGATTCACGCCCTGTGAAAAGCTACCTTAAAGGCATAAGGGTCGATTTTTCGGAATAGAAATAAAATGTATTATTGATAAGCTTATTTACGTTTAACAAACTAATTCACTCGTGTTGTTAGTATATGAAAATGCACAAAGCCGCATAATGTCCATAAAACGAATTTTATACTTAAAAGTTTAAATGTTTTGAAAGCGAGGTTAACACAGAAATTCACGTAAGTCAGTTTTGTCAATTATTTCACGCCAAACATTCACCCCTTTGCCTTATAGGAGCACTTTTGAGGTTGTATGCATATTTTTTCTCTAAATTACAACACAGTGGAATAATTCCCGACAGCAATGGAACAGAAAAAGTGAGTATAATACTCGGAAATCAATTTAACGCACTGGCGAAATCCAGCAAAAAGGGGGAGGGGGTGCTATAAGGAATGTTAAAATTGGATTTATTTGTCATCTTTCCTCGCAAAAAATTAAGTCTTGGGAACGGGGTTAGACTAGGCCAAAGGATGTTGGCCTCTGCCCTCAGTATCCACCTGTGTGACGATTTAGGCAATCTTGACTAATTTCTACGATTGTTTATTTTCAGCTAATTTAGATTTTGTTTCCAAGCTTAAAATGAAGTATTCGGCGGCCAACGTGGTAGCAGTTGTCTTACTCTCCGGCACCATATCACTGATTTCATGTTGTCAGAGAGGGCGAGTAACCAGGGTGCGTGCACCCCCTAAGCCGCGACCACCGCCACCACCGGCACCCCCTCCACTAACTATCAAAAACTGTCCACCTTCGAGGACCGTCTTCACGAGTCTGGGTAAGCTATCAGCGAGGGTGCCCCCAAACCCACCTGTCTATGACTCTTTTAATCAACTGGCGGTTCAGACATCAGGTCCCAACTTGAACGACTTACTTCCACCTGGAAAGCACCAGATAACTTACAGGGCTACTGACAAATACGGCCGTGAGGCTATATGCAGACAAAGCATCACTGTAGAAATTGCGCGTTGTTCTGGTCTCCCAGGCGTCCCTGCAAATGGCAGTATAAGTTGCGATCCTAAGCTCCAAACCCTGGCTGGAACGCAGTGTTTCTACAGCTGTGACAACTATTTTCAGATGGCTGGGGACGCCCAGACAAGATGCCTCTCCGACGGAACTTGGTCCAGTTTGATGCCAAAATGCAAAAAGAAATGCGAAGATCCCATAATGCAAGGTCAAAATGGAACGATCGTCTGCTCCGGTTTTCCTATAAGAATTTGCCTCGTCGTTTGTCATAAAGGGTATGAACTGTCAGAGAATCTCTCAAGAGGGGGTGGTTACATCTATTGTTCTGCAGACGTGGGGGAGTGGAGCCACAATGCACAAGATGGCTGTGTGAAATCCAGTTTTTTGCTCGAAAGTATCACCAGTCCAATGGCAGACCCCCAACATCACATAGAGCAAACGATTAAAATTCTGAAACTTGGCACTTGATATGTATAAAAGCGCGTGTTTTCAAAAAGTGCTTTTTTTTTACTGAGATCACATGTATTGATAAACAAGGCGTTTTTTATCGTTTATATAAACTGTCTTTGGAAGTTACATTGTAGTTCCTTCCATAAAGGTAGTGTCTAGCATCGTTGCACTTTGAAAGTGGTTTTAAAATAAAAAGTTCAAACGAAAACAAGATTTACGTGAATTTTTATTTTCAACTTTTACACAATATCGTACAGTGGTAATTTATATGTGAATGATATATGTGTTTGAATTTTATTGAGCAATTGTAGAAATGCTATTTGACACAATTGTTTTAGATAAAAACCAAACTAGGCTGATCAAATGTTTGTTTTTTTTCATTAATCAAACCTTATTTGTCTACCTAACATGGCATTTAGAGTTACATTCAATTCGTAAGTACATAAATAAAACTTTCTGACATAATAACTGGCATACCCGTTATACAATACTGATCAAACTGTTAAGTGGTCTTCCTTCACATGTCCAGAATATTAAAAACAATAAATTTTAATGTGAATGTTCTTATATAAAATGGGACTGGGTCCCATAAAAATCGAATTTAAGCATTTCGGTGTTAAGTTTCACCTCGCAAGTTGGGCTATCAAAAGGACAACAACATAAAAACTTCTAAACTTATGTTGATAGAAAAAAAACTAAATAACTTCACTTCACTTACTGCTATATAATAGCAATATCTTAAATTAAAATTTTATAACACACGGTTTTGTGAACAGCAATGAGCCTACGGTCTTTTGTTTGACAATTTTATACTTGTTAAATAGTTTTTTTAAAGATTTCAGATTAAAATCAATTAATTGCTAAATTTAGACTGTTGAAACATGATATCCTATCATGGGTACCCTTACCATAACCCAAATGATTTTTGGTTATCTTTGGTGGCAAGAGATATCGCACGTGTTTAAACAAATGATGCATATACCCTACTGTTATGTTTTCAACATCAAAACAGCAAAGGTCAAAACAGGAGAGCAAATACGTGCCTTTGTGAGAGTGCAACGCGCTCTTAAAACTCATTAAAAATCACTTTCAGTATTTGAAGAATATATAATCTTTTTAAACGCTAGTTACCCCTCACGAATGTTACATTAATTTAGCTTGTAATCTGTACTGAAATCATTAAGACTTCGCCGCAAACATTAGACAAATTTCCCCGGTGCATCCCCTTACATACAAAGACATAAGGAAAGACCTATTCAAAATTGCCCCATCGCATTTTAGTTGATTCTGTGATCTTTTCTTCCCTCATAGCTACAAAAAATATCAAGTTGTTATCTATACCTGTACATGAGGATGATTATAGTAAATTCACAATCTGTTTTTATACTTTTACATGATCCTTTGAGAAAAGAAACGCCTTTTCGAGTATTTTTGGGAAAAAATCAGTAAAATGTTTACGTTTTTTAGTTACTGTCGCCAAACATTTACTGCATACTGGTCCATCATCACCAATGCCTGTTAGCCCAATCCCTCCATATAAACAATAAATAAATAAACTGATTAATTAAATTAATAAACAAATATATTAATTAATCAGTCAATTAATTAATTAAGGGAAAAGTGATCTGTGCTACACATCTATTCCAATTAGTATGTGAAGGAGGACTTTAAAAAGATTTGATTGTCAAAAATTAACCTGATAACTGAGAGGTCTTAATTGAACTAAAACGCAGAAAAAGGTCCAAATTCGTCAATGTAAGGTTTGTCCTCTCGGTCGCCCAGCCCTCGAAAACTGAATGAGGGGTTGCTACGCTGTGTCAGTGAGTATTTAGGACTGTAGGCGCCTGGTCCCGGGTTCTTGACTGCGTCTGAAGTTAAAAAAGAGATCATTTTTGCAGTCAGTGGTCACGTTAATGATCGGGTTGTATCAATGCCTATTATGCAAAGCCGATGGAGCAGTTCAATGACTGTTTTTGGAAGTGCTTGGGATTATGTAAAATTTATATTTTCTATGAATGAACCTAAGAGTAATGAAGAAAGGTTAAAATGCACAATCAAGTAATCCACTTTGATGCTATGTTGACGAGTTCATCCTTGCTGTAAATAATCTGATTCGTGCTGTAAACAGACTGGCTCGTGTATTAATTTGGCTGTATTTTAACCAGGGGCGAGGAGAACGTAAAAAAACGGCTTCGAGCGGTATACATTATTAATAGCGTGGCCCCCGTGTAGGAACTGTAATGTTTGCTGCATTTGCTCGTAAAATAGTTCAATGGGTACTAGTTTAAGTAAACAGTATAAGAATAATAAAAGGAAAGCCCAATGATAACCTTTTTTCAAGGTCAACAATCACATCACTGACAAATTGTTGAAAAGGCTTTTAAAGGGAAGTTGAGTGATTGTTCCTTTAAATAAGTAAACATGAGGAAATTACCTTTAGACTTCCACAGCACGGTTCCATCGTGACGGAAACTGTGGATGATCGTGGGGGCTCTGGTATAGAGCTGTCTGTCCGCCTGGCCGGGGTTGTAAGCGCTGGGGGAGGGCTCGAATTCCGCGCCTGAATTTTGTGTTCATAATGAAAAAGGTTTCACATTAAAGGGTGGAAATACGAATTAAGTTATGCAGATATACGCAGTACAACGGTTCGTTTTGATTCACCTTGATCATCATCCACTGTCATTAGTTTGGAATTTGTCCTGTACTAGATCTTAATGTGGGAAGGCAGTTATGAATCATGAGAAACATTCATAATCTAGGCACAATTTTAATGATACATTGCACGTTTAATGAATATTTATACCGACGCACCGTGTTTCCCTATGGCAAAGTCCTGTTTTGCACCAAAGGTATAAGATGGCGCCTCTGTCCTCGTGCTTTGGCGGGGTCCCAGCGTGGGACGAAGTGGGTAGCTTGCAGGAGAAGGCCACTGAAAATACAGCAATGAATCATATCACCCCAAGTGCTGTATTTGTATTTATTTTTGGCGCTGTCTCATCTTCGGATTTCGTCCTATCATGATTCCCAAACCCCGTCTTCGATTTTTATCCCACGTTCAGTGTGCAAATATTCTTGCATACCTACATTGAAAATCTCTCCTTTTCTCTCTCTCAAACACACACATACACACACACACACACAGACATACACACGCACAATCACTTACGCGCGCGCGCGCGCGCACACACACACACACACACACGTGTGTTAAGATACTTCATGGTATATTACCACTTCATAGGATAAATNTTCATAATACATACTGGGGTTTTTCGTCAAGGCCTTTGAGCTGAAAGTATTAAATGATTAAACTATGGTTTCATATGTTCGTAGAAAAGATGTCTACAGCATGAACATTTAAATGTAAATGAAATAATTAAAATCTGTGTTTAATTTATTAAATGAAACTAACACTGCCACTTCATTTTAGCTCTCGTTGCCGAAGATAACTATTCAGAGAGGAAGCGCCCAGAAAGCTGCATCGTGCGCCGTCTTGATACTAAAAGCATTTGATTAAAATAGCGCAAAATGAAAGAAAAAATATTTAGACATAAAGAAAATTTGCGCCGAATTCCTTTAAGCTATCAACTCCGTAGATATACTGAAATGTAACATATTAAAAATCTCATGTACTAGTGTATATATACAGATATATAAATAGATATTTTTTCTAATAAATTACCGAGCTGACATGGAAACTGTCGCCAGACGGACTTTTGGTGGGAACTTTCCCTTAGCCGAGCGTCTTGTCATCAGAGTAAGTTCTCGCTCCCGCTTCCACTCCGGTGGTGGGGAAGGAATACGAGCAATTTGAGCAGTACCGGGGGTAAGGTGGGGAAGAGAAATCTTCGTCCCCCCTGGAGTTTTAGGTGTTGGAGGTAGCTCGTCCTCGTTTGGCACATTTTTTCCTCTGCTGGGGACCTCATCAAGGTCTGAAGTATTCAGCTTTTGTGTCCAGTCCAATACATCGTCCACGTGTTGGTCATCTGGCTGATTGTCAGTTAGTTTTAAGGAGACATCTCCGTTTGAGCTTTGAGTGGTGCGTGATCCGGGCCGTGATCTTCGGACAGTTGCGCTGGTCACTGGCGCGGGCGAGGCTACTGCCCCCTCGGGCTTAGGAGGTTGGTCCTCCATGGGTATTGATATAGATCTATAATTAGATAGTCGTGTTTAATATTCAGGACGCTGTTCAATAATAGAACAATAAGCCAATAAGTACCAAGAGGATCATATATATATATATATATATATATATATATATATATATATATATATATATATATATATATATATATATATATAGGCCTATATGTGATCCCAGCTGGATTAACTACTCCGTGCAGGTTTATTAGTTTTTCTTAATGCGAATAGCATATATTACCCTATTTAACTACAATTCGATGCAAAGTAATGACGTTTGACTTTCAGACACGCAACGTAGGACTTATTAAGTGTAGGAACAATCTAAAATCTTTAGCATGACAGCACATTGCGCTCAATACAATTACTAAGTGTCAATATATCGACTAAATGGGGACACGGAATTAACGCCAAGTGCTACTCCAGTATAGCGCAATTGGGGACTACGTGAGCTAATTAATTCATCTTAGTAAAACCTCTACACACGTCATGGAATAACAATGATTTTTGAAGATGATCACCTACCTTTAAAGCCTATGTGATTGTCATCGCTGGGACAAAAAATAATGCCGAATGATGACTTAAAGACCGTATGGATTGTTGTTGTGCCCTTCAGTACTACCCTGTGTCGGCCATCTTGTATCCAAGCAAGCCGTTGCTAAGTCTGAGTTTAAGTCAACAAAACGGATTTGGTTTCAGGTGAGCGCATTGGAAAACACTCAATGCGCCTAAGAAAGGTATTAACAGCTTATAATAGAGCAATATCAAATAATCAACAAAGTGTGACCGATTACTGACGCGCTTACACTTAGATTACACTTCAACACAATTGATTTATATAATCTGTAAGTTTACGTCAAGCACCCTGGTATTTATTTTAAATGTGAGCAATTTGTAAAGATGTGAAGTTCGTGTGGCGCGATCAAAAATATTTGTGCTTATTTTATGTGAGCTCAGGGAAAGGGGGTGACTGCACCGAAAAATTTGCGGAAAACTACAAATGTTACGCAAAGAGCCCAGTAGGGCCTAGCCTACATAAACACATTTTACTTAAAAAGACAAAATCGGTTCTTGATAGGCCTAATTGCAAAATATTCTGATTGAAAAATGCACCAGTTAAGATACTCGGAAAGTCAAATGGACCCAATATTAAGAGTGAATGTATTAAATTGACATTATTAAATCATTAATACTCTCTCAACAATTACTCTTTCCTCACACTTCTTAACCAAATGTCGGGTGTGACGTCAGTATAGGTCTTTGCTAATAAGAATAAGATAATAGTAAGAATAAGATAGGAGAATTATGTAAATGCCAGGTATTGGTAGCTTCCATTAATACATTAATAATTTGGCCTCTAAATTAATAGACAATAATTTTGTTACAAACTATTAGCGGACCTGTGGTCAAAGAGTATAGAAAATCAGTCCCTTAAAAATATATCAGGCGGGGAGCCTCCACCCTTCCAAAAATGTTCACAGCATGCTCTATCACCTTTCTTGAAAGAAATACGGAGGACCATAGGACTTAAGACTGTCCCCCCCCCCCACCCCCCACCCTCGCAATAAAAAGATTGAAAACCAATCAAAAGAATGCTTCCCCGTGTCGCTTAAAAGATTATTCTACATGCTTTTTTATTTTGGTAATTTTAATGCTTTCATGAATTAATATCTTTTCTTTGTCAATCGCCAATAAATTTTGGGAGAGCTCCAGATTGGGCGCTGGATCTTTGAAAATCCTTTGAGAGTCTTTGACAGATTATATATATCATACATACCAGGCCTATAAATAGCAAGAACATTAATTTTCCAGGAAATATGAAATCGCAATCATCTTCCTGTAATCACCTGGGTAAATACTGTCCAAAGCCGTTGAAAATTTAAGATTTATACTCCTGCTTTTAACCTCTAAATTTCTTTTACCGTAATACAAGCGAAACTCAAGTCTCAATTTCCGTTACTAAAATTCGGATACATTGTCCAGGACATATCATGTATACGATAGAAGAAAACGTCGTTTGCTGTTGCTCCAGATCCAATCATTATGGCTTTTAAAATATTTTTAGGGGTAGGGTGATACATTTTTAAAATAAACAACAATAATTTGAAGACTGGTCTAGTCACTTATATAGGATTGGGAATGGGAGTTATGTCTAAAAAAAATTCCATGCATCCACAGATAAATTACGCATCTTATTGTTGTAAAGCAAATTACTTACACTTTCACTAATCACAGATAATAATTAAATCGGAATCAAATGAGTAAAAGGGACAAAGAGTTATTGAGTGTAAGTTAAGTTTCTCCAAGAGTCAACAAGTGTAGAACATGTTTTTAGTGTCAGAAAAAGATGGAAAAGGTCAAAGTCAGTAACAGTTAATGTGATTGGTTAATTTCATAACATATTTTAATTTTGATCATCTATTTATCACATGATAACTGAGTTTTGGATAAGGTCCAAGTATGAGTAATCCAAATAACATTTTAGATATCTTTAATTGAAAACAAATCTCTTAGGGATTACCTAATAAGGAAATGTTGCATGGTGAATTGCAACATGCGAATGGAAAATATTTTGTAATCACGCAAAGACAATGGAAAAGAAAACAAGTAAATGCGTGATCAGTACGAAGAAATTGAGTATAAATATTTCTGAAGTTGTATGAAGAGAGAGTCGGTGAATAAACGTTCGAAAGCTCCAAACTGCTGTCGTCATTCCTCACTATAACATTATGTTTGAACATTACATATAGTAGGGTTTTCAATAAAAAACTTTTTCCATACATTTTATATCTGAGAGCTCTGTCAGGGAAGGTTCGTCAGAACTTTCCGCTCCTTCCAAGTGTCACCGTAGAATTTGCCTATGGTGCACCAGACAATATCCAGTGGGAGTATAAAGATTTCCAATTTCTGCAGAATTTGCAAGGATAAAATATGGTCATCTTTATGGAATAATTTGGTGAAAAAAAAGTTGGAAATATTTTAATTATATCAAAATTGAGATGGAAAGTAAAACAGGTCGTTTTTTATGGACCATTCTATATATAAACATATTTAAGGTGAAACTCGTAGTTAATTTCATAGAACAGAGCATCGTAATGACGGTTCAGTTCATTCCAATTCAAACTCAAGTTTGTCTTTTCAGATAAAAAAATACTTTAGGTTTAGGATTCAGGAACGGCCACATTATTTGAATAACATTTCTCATCTAAAGAACAAATAATAAAACAACAATTTTCTTGATGAATAAAAAAATCTTTATTGAAAAAATAAAAACATGTATGTAAAGCATATTTACCATGCAACTTCTCATAAAATGTAGCGAAGAGAGCGGTGGAAATAAATGACAAAGCAAAGCATGAATTATATTATTATGCGATTTAAGAAGATTGTGATATAGTAGGGATTTTTTCAAAAAAAAAAAAAAAAACGTTATTAACAATAAATAATGAACACGTATATTAAATAATTAAGTCTTTGATGTAATATCCCTGTTATGTAAAATTAAGCTGAATCTTTTAACCCATCTAAATATTTTAATAACTGTTGCCAGTTTACATCAGGCAAACGACTTACGCCAATGCACAAAACATGTTAATTATAATACTAAATGTTAACAATACATATTTTTATGTAACTCAACTCAAAATGTCTTCATATGAAAAATGTATGGAAGTTCACATTAATTTTGTTCTGTAGAATGCAGCAACAAGAGATAAAATGAAATTCTTTATCATGCAATTCTTATTCTCCTGCATCTCGTACATGTACATGACACAGCACCATTCCATTTACTTACATCTGCACACAAAGGCTGAAATGGAGGGGAGTGGGTGGGGTGGGGGTGGGGCCGGGGGGGGGGGGGGGACCATTTTCCCCTAGTTTATAAAAAGGACTAAATGAAACACACAAATTACAGAAAAATTGCACATCTTTTTTCCAAAAATTATTTTTGCGCATAATCAAAGGCTATGTGTGTTTTAAAATCCTTTAGCTGCCACAATAAATTCCATTTTATGCAACAATGATATAATAATAAACATACATCAAATGTATTTTTAAATGCAGTATATTTTGATTATAAGTCAAATAATCTTAATTGTCTCCAAACAGTTGTGGTGGCACTTCTTGGCGTATTATTGACAGCGCTGCCTGGTGTGCATTCCTTCTTCTGCTACAGAATTTGGTGCACTGGGGGTACAAAACACGCAAAAGCAAGAACAACGCTGGACTTCCAAGAAGCATCTGAAACATTATATTTAAAGAAGAACAATTTACCGTATTTTATGCACTGATATTTACTTGTGAAAATGCACGTATGGATACAAGTACATAACAAAGGATGATATCACAATATTAAACACTTTTAAAAAAAGAACCTGATAACTATAAATTTATTGTTTAAATTGATATATGTTTAAATGTATAGCTCGGTAGCCAGCAACTGCTTATAACTGATATTTTTTAACACTTGTGTCATAGCTAAATAACTATAAACAGTGATTGATTTTTTACTACTTGAGTCTGTCCTTAAAATATTTTTGTAATTTTTATTTTTAAAATTATTCTAGGTATTCAATATCAGTTAAAAATGAGACGTTAGCTTAGAAAATTATGGACAAATATTCATGATTCTTACCGCATTGAAAACTGTTACAGATATAGCTTCTGATGCAAAACTCATGAAGTAAATCAGCAAACTGGAAGAGGATAACTTTCATTAAAGCACAAATTAAAAACATATAGCATGATAAGTTGTCATAACATGTACTTCTAATCATCTCATGTACAGGATTCTGACAAATCTTTCACTCAGGGCTCATTCCTATTGAAACTATTGGTTTATCTAAATCCATCCAACTCCGTTGGGACTCTTGCTGAATGCAATCAGTTTAACAGATTAACAAGCCTCCTCTAGTTTTCAATGCACTCATATAAACACCAGCTTTTCTGTATTCTGCTCAATGCCAGGAGGAAGCAAAGAATGGTTGGTAAAGAATATCTCACCTAAGGAGTGGAAAGATGGACAATTTTATGGTGATGTAGGCATGGTCTCTGCCGGAATAGGCTGCTTCCTGCGTCACGTGAACATTCCTATAAAAACAAAACACTTGCATACTATTTACACCAATGATTCACTTAACACATTATATGGATTTAAAAATGTTACTGCACTTACTTAGGTTATTGATATCTGCAATGAAACAATTGACACGATGCTGTTGAATAAAATCTCAAAAGAGTTTTCTTATTAATTTTAATTACATCTGGATATCTTTGAGGGAAGTAATTTTTTACATTTAAAAATAATATTTTAATCTTATTTAAAATAACATATTTACTGGTGAAAGAGAGCTGTCACCCATACTGCCACCTGGAAAATGGCTGCCAGGAATAAGATGGCTGTATTGAACTGGACAGCTGTCATACTATTGTTACCATATTTCTGTAAAGAAAAATGTTGTGATGATATTAAATACATGGTTCCTCATGTAAGACAGGACACTTTTACAGGTCTTCACATATCAACTGTGAAACATTTGAAGTCTAAAAAAGGTAAAATTGCTGTTTTAATGTAGTGGAATTAGAATTAGTGAATATTACAACTAGAATTCATATCTGGATTAAAAAAAACTGATATTAGATTTTTTCACAGTGACAATAAGTTTCCGTTAATGAGTTATATTTTTAGAATAATAGCACCTCTTCAAAGGGGTGAAAAATGAAGACTGAAAAATAAAAATGGAAGAAAACTCACATGATCTTCAAATGCAGTTGTCATCTTGAATGCCAGAGGACTGAGGCCAATACAGGCCAATGCCAAGTTATTGAAGAAAACCATCAGTCGGTTCATATTCATCATATACTGAAAAGATATATACAACTAAATTAGGGATCAATTTGATTTAAGTGGGTCCGAATCTGTTTAAAAAACATACTATTGCTAAATAAAACAGCTTACCAGCATTTGCATTTTTTAAGCAATAGATACAAATTAAATCAGTCACAGAGTTGTGCATGAAACGTATGAGTGGATTACAGGAGTAGACAACAGGGTGTGCTTTTCTGACACAGTACAAATGAAAGTGAAAGTGAAAGTTAAGCCGTAAAAATGAAAATAAACCCACTTACATGTAAAAGTGTATGATGCATAGACCATAACAGTCCTACTGCTATAAAGGTTGCAGCATAAGCCACATAAATGTTACTGTGCTGAGACAATGCTGCAGAAACAGTACCAAACTTTCGGACATCATCTATGGTAGGGATGTCATCTTCACTGCAATGTAATCCAATATTGGGTTTAGAATGTACATTATACCACAAGCCTTTTCACAGTATTATTCTACATGTAGCCCGGGGTCAGATTCTTGAAGGTTTGTCAGTCATGATAATCCTTTATCACTATGTCAACTTTTAACTTTTAAAAATAAAAAATTACAAGAAAATATAAGTTATGCATATTTCTTAAAAGAAGAAAATATAAGATATATGCACACCAAACTTTGGACATCAAGGTATGTTTTTGTCTGCAAATACAACCCTGCATTTAGGAGCGCATTAATAACAATTCTCACGAAGTTTACAAAATTGCTTCATGCATGTTCTGGTTACAGAGGAGAATTGCCAATGGGTGATTTGGCATGGGTTCGAAAAAAAAAAAAAAAAAAAAAAAAAAAGCCTTGATATACCATGTTCTAGTTAATTTTTCCATTTCTGGTGTAATATTGTACAATTTTTTATTCTTTTTTCACTGATACAACAGAATTTGTAAAAATTCCTCATTGACCAAAAATGGAATAGTTATATTAAACTTACAAAATCAAAATACTGACCAAATATCCAATATGATAAGTGTTGCAACAATCGCAAAGACTCCATCGCTGAAGCACTCCACTCTCTCTTTGTTGACAACTTCCTTAAGAAGTCTGTGTCTAACATTTATATGTAGAAGCATGGAGCTGTCCCTATTTCCTACAAAACACCAGCAAAACATTTCTCACAGCCCACTGAATATTGAAGTATATTTAAGATGCTATATATTTGATATACATGTATGTTGCACAAACATGGACAAATTACAAATATCAACTGGGACCTACCTCTGTATTTTTCATATATCTTGTAGGCCCACTTCCTTATAGCACCTGATGCAACAATTAGTGCAAGCACTATTAAACCCTAGAACAGTGTTGGAAAAGACATGAAAAAGCTTTCAACTTAAAAGTTCCAGTGGTAAATTACTACAAAGCATGAATGAAACCAATGTAAAATACTTAAACGATAAGATTGTTTGGAATTCTTCGTAATTAGAAAGAATAAATTTTTAACTGTACAGGATTGTTTGGAATTCTTCGTAATTAGAAAGAATAAAATTTTAACTGTACAGTACATGCATCAATTACTACAAATTGGTAAAAAAATGTGTAAGCTATGCTGAAAAGCTCTTCCTCATTACATGTATACTTGATACAGAATGATAAAATCATTATATCAAATGCTATGGCCTACCACTAAGGGTGAGAAGGGGGCACAGATGATGGCTAATATGCAGAGAATCATGGGAATTCCTGCGCCCCACAACATGGCATTTCTTTGCTGCATCTGAAAGTGACACAATGAAAATGTAAAATTTGCCTTATTTATTAAAAATGGTCCATTTCTACGTGTTTCTTGAAACTTGCAGCAATGTATACTTTTTTTAGCCAGTGATACTTAGACATACAATAAATATCAGTTTTATGTACCGGGTATTAATGGTATTTCCAGTACCTTAAAGTAAAATTCATTGTTTGCAATTCTGAATGTATGACAATAATAGCTGTATATGTACAAAGATACACAACAAAAATATAGCAAATAGAATTAAATTGTTATTAACTAAAAATTAGTGTTTGAACAATGAAGACCCTTGATAAATTTATTGATCAAAAACAAATGCCATATATATATATTCACCTTGTCTTCATTTTGGACAACTTCTACTTTCATTATCCTCTCCACTTTGAACACATAATAAATAAGGACTATCTGTAAGAGAAAAAACAATAAATCATGACAAATGAATATGTTTTATAAAACTGAAATAAATTCCCTTAGATCTTACACTTAGTCTATTGGATTCAGATTTAAACAGAATATAAGGCCCCATTCCAACCTAGACCTGTGTACAGCTCATAATTTTGCCACACTTGAAGCTGTATTAAATTATTGTATAACTGTAAATAAGTACCTGTATTCCAAATAGGCACATGAATGTAGCAGCAAACAGCACCACAGGTAAAACATCATATTTCTCCAAATATTCCATTGACTCAGAAAACTGTCCAAGAAGTGTGAACTGAAATAACGTGAAATATGCAGTATTATGTCTGTTTAGTTTACATAGATATGTACAAATATCACCCAGCACTTTGAATTTTTTTTTTTTGAAATTGAATTGAATTTTTTTAATAATCTAAAGCCCTTGCATGTTCACAGTACCTGAATTACATACTTTACAGGTGAAACATCACAAAGGAAAATAACAGCTATTAGTAACTGCAAAAATATCCAGAAACACATTCATTATGGTTTCTTTCACAAAAAATATAAACTAATTTATATTATATACTACTACACTATGGTTCCTCATTCAAGTACAAATCATGTTAAATAGGAGAAATGCAATTCAACAAGTACTAAATATTATCCTTATAATTGTTACAATTATTCTTTTTCAGTACTTACTACAAAAGGGGTAAATGTAACAACCATTAACAAAGCCTAGAACATAAAAGAATTCAAAATATAAGAAGTGTATTATAAGAAAAATAGCTACATGTACAACAGATTCTGTTTAGTACATTTCTGGACAAACTATTTTGATTCCTTAATGAACAGATAGATCAACATAATATACCGTATATTTCATAATTTTCTATATGGAGAATGAAAAAGAAGTCACTGATACATGTAGTTTATAAGATAAAATAAAGCCTTTGAAGAAATTATACTGTAAGTAAAAGAAAAAGAGAGCTACATAAAGTGAACAAGCTACCGTTGTGGGAAATAATACTGATTCAACTTTTAATACCAAACATACTTTACCAGATTTAAAAACAGAACAACCTCATCAGCTCTCTGGATTGTTTCAAACAGCCTAAAAAAGTAAATAAAAAGCATGAAACAAATCTAAGTTAATGCCTTTTCTCTTAAAAAAAATAATTAAAGTTAAAAAAATATAACTTATTATATATATATATATATGTCTTTATTGATTTTTGCTTTACTTATTATTACATACAATGTAACTTCTATAGCTGTATGAGGTACTGTAGACAGAAGAGAAGCTTATCCTCAGCTGAGCTCATATATTGCACAACTGACACAAATGTTCAGCTTTTGGTATAGGATTTGGCTGAACATATTGTGTGTGTGTACTGGTATGTGTGTGTGTTTAAAGTATTGGTCCTACTTTTCAAGTAACTTACCAAACATGAGAAATCCAGATTCCTGACACAATTAAGTAAGAAACTATATATACTGTAATATTTGGGATAAGACGTATCAGGGTTGAGCGAAGATCCTAAAATAATGAAGAGACAGATCCCATGGTCACAAAAGTTATAATGGGAGGGTGGAGGCTTAAATATAAATGTGGATAGTGCTGTTAGATACCAAGTATATGGTATAAACTAACATGCCTCCACCTTACAACATAATGACAGGCAGAGGTAATAAAAAGATTAATTTGCAAGGAAGGAATTCCTTGCAAACTAATGCATAATAAATTAAGTGTAAATCTAATACACACACACACACACACACACACACAGAGAGAGAGAGAGAGAGAGAGAGAGAGAGAGAGAGAGATTTGGTCCACATGCAGAGAAACATAAATTATACATAATTGTCACAAACAATGTTATGTCATGCCTCACCTTATTTTCTGGAATTACAGTGTGAGTAACTGGAAGAATCTGAAATATTAAAAAGACTCAGGATGCACAGAAAAATATAAATAAACATAATTAAAATACTTATACACATAGCTGTATACATCACAGATAGATCTTTCATCTTCGACCAGAAAACACATGCAATACCTGACATGAAATAAAAAAATATATAATATTGTTTTGTATTGTGACGTTACATTGCACTGTACACTTAATCCTCTTAACTGGAAGCTTAAAATAAAGAATACTTGGTGCAGAAATTCTTTAACTTATAATTAAGCCTTAGCGTAAATATCCATGTATTTCATTATCTACATTAAAGGAGAACTGACAAGCTTTGTAAGTAATTTCCATAACTATAAACCATCAGCAGGTCATGATGGTGGATGGGGAGGGGCGGGGTGGGGCGGGGTGGGGGTCAAGATAATACTGATAGTCAGAGTAAATAGGGCTTAAATGCACGTGCAGCATATCAAATGCTTAAGTTATTTGAAATGAAAGCCCATTGAAATGTTTTGTTGTACAGCAACCTCATGAGTCAGTGTCACGCTCCTGGAATACGTAACTGACAGCACTGATCATAATAATTAATACACCATAGAAAAAATTACGTCAAAAACGTTCATCTTACCATAACCGTGGCAATTATTGAAAACACAGCGTCTGAGTATGCAGCAACGCGACCTGAGCTTGGGACGCGGTTTTCAAAACTTGAGACACTGCTATCCATTTCTACATCACAGTCAGCAACGTTATTTATCCTAAACTCTGTCAGGCTAGTTCTCTCTTCAGCAGTTCTTTACTTGTGGGAGGTAAGAAAGTCCTCGGGAATTCCCCCTCTTATGTCACGTGATTCCTTAGATACCAGCAAGCGTAACAAGGACAGGTGCTCTGGAAATCCTTGGAAAACTCCTTGAATAGGACCTGTCCGAGGATTTTAAAGATAACAATGGCTGTTGTCGGGTGTGGAGTATCTTCAAAACCGTTTGTAGACAATAAGATTAGTCAAAGGAAAGTGATGTTATTCTCTAGAAGTTACGATCCCGAATGTAAACGTATTAAATCTTACCTGGACGAATATAAGATGTCCCCACAGATTTATGAAGTAGCGGAGATCGAATGCAGACAAGATGTTACACAAATCGAGAATTATTTCCAGATAATCTGTTTAACTGATAGCAGGGCGGTAAGCAAAATTGAATTAAGTTCTTTAAGTGTATCTTTTTAATTAAAAAAAAAACATTTGCTCTACAATATACCGGTAGATCTTAGACAACTAGAAATTACTTAGTGAAACATGCTACTTTACTTGATTAATGCAAATATTTTTTTCTGTAGGCAAACCAGTTTTTCATCCAAGATGGTGATTAACATTTTGAGTAAAATTTTGACTTTCTGCACTCAAAACATTAAGTATTTTTTTCAATAGAACTCATTATTTCACATTATTGTTTCAGGTGCCACAGTTATTTGTGGATGGCAAATATGCCGGTGGTGAAAAAGAAATAACAAGAAATCATGAATCAGGAAAGTTAAAGGAAATGCTGAAGAAGGTTGGAGCCATACCAAATAGTGCATGACTTGTTTTTGCCACATTCCAACAGCTTTTCAGAGCCAAAGAAGAGGAATGGAGATCACTTGTCCATTCTAGTCTCATCTCTAATAATCCTGTCTCTTTTGCCATTTAAAGAATTATATTTATACAAACTGCACAGGAAAAACAACATATTGTTATTGACATCGAAGTTTTATACTGTCTCTCTTAAAAGAGCATTTGGAACGTTAGTAAAGGTGTGTAATACAACTGCAGACCATTCCATTTTTTACATCACTGATGCTTAAGTTAAACTATTTTTTTCTAAGGATTTCATCTCATCTCATTTCACGAATCCACATACAAGTCAACTTTGGCTGTCTTAATTGAACATTTTCAGTAATGTATTTTGGAATGGTGCCAGAGAAATAAGCACTGATATAAATCATGTCAAGACAATGTGGATGAATGGACGGACTTTACAAAATTAACTCTTAATTTTAATGCAATTTATGCATGAGAAGCATTCATCAAACTTTTATCATGATCATCCTTTACAAAACATAAGTAGCATTTCTTTTGTTTGCAATTTTTTAATAAAGTCATAATATATATATATACTCATGGTATAATTAATCTCTGAAAAGATGATTATACGCGAATTTCACCCACTTATCTTTATCTACAAAAACAACCAGTACGGGAAAATATGGTTTTGAACTCTATAAAACCATTACCAGCATGAACTTTCTACATGAAAGTAGACCGAAACCTATTACTCAACTTCAAAAAAAAAAAAAAAAAAAAAAAAAAAACTAAATTATTTTTGACTTGAAGAAAAATGCTGTTGGAAATTTTGTTTACTTGAAAAACTAGTCACCATCAGTACATTAATATGCAGATTACTATCAGTAAACAACAAAGCACACATTTATTCTTAAGCACAAGACTGTGCTTTATTCTGGCTTTTTCTTTAAACCCAAATTCTAACAATGCTTGTCATGATTCTGACCACTAAAATTATGTAACTATTCTAATTCGAAAGCTAATGATTGAAAAAAAAACAAAAAAACAACAACTATATTTACTAGTCTAATATCACAACTTCCCATACCCTCAACCACACTCTCATACAGTCATATACATAGTTTTTCTGACCAAACTACAAGCTAAAATATTTTAAACCTATGTTTATTGCTTTTATAATGACAAATTTAGACTTTTTTGCACAAACATAACTTCAGCCACATACCAACTTATCTTCTGTCAAAGTAACATTTGGAGTATTTTTTTATTGTTTGATAATTGTTGTATAGAAGATTCTAATGAAAACAAGGCTAAAAATCAAAGTGAATGTGTCTAGCAATCATTCTGTCATAACTGAAGTAACTTTTGGTTGGAGTATTTTTACAATGGAAAAAAGTTTTGTACAGAGTAAATTTACTTTACAAATCACCTAATGTTCAGAACAAAAAGCTTGATATCTACAAAGCAATCTTCCGACAATATCACATAACTAAGCACTTACACACATTCATACATTTTCACAGTCAAAGTTCAGTTGCATTCGATTTATAAACTTTAAAAGTAATGCTGTACAGTTTGCTATATTACCTAAACGTGAATTCCCTATGCAAAATCTACATAGACAGAACAAACAAAGCAGACAAATTCAATTCCTAGCATTTTGCCAAAGCCCCCAAACCATTCCCTAATTATTGCAATACTGCATAAAAATAAAACCTCCCAAGCTGAAAAATTAATGACCTGACTTACAAGTTACTCTAAATAAATGGACTCCACTCGAGTACTGCACACCCTGCTACGAATATATATTAACATCTGCATGTGCCTGCGCATTCCTGTGTGCGCCATAGCATTTTTCCAAACACACTTTAAACAAATAACCCAAAAAATAATTTCCTAATGATTGCCATATTGCAGAAAAATAACCCCTCAGAGCTGCAAAACACAAACAATTATAACAAATAACTAACCACTTTAGTAAATGGACTCCATTTTGAGTACTGCAGAACCTCTTACTGTTACAAATAAACGTGGGAGTGTGCCCCTGTAAAAAATTATTGACGTTTTATGTTTATATCTAAATGTAATCAGTTTCACATATTTCTACTCTAGATTAGAGTTTTCTTTTGATTTTATAAATCTCAACCTAAATAGTATCTCATCAAGATGTAAGGAAAGAAACCTCTTTCTCTTAAAATATCAGTCTGCATAATTTACATAATTATACATAGTCTACATTAGTTTAAATCTATATCAGGCTTTGGAACATGGAAACACACTAAAAGTATGTTGTATTTATTTGCTGGACACATATAAAGCTAGGGGAGGATTTCTACACAAAACTTTGATAGATAGGCTCACAATCAATATCTTATAATAAGCATAGTGGGGTTAAGAGGACCCCAGAAAAAGAAAGAATGAATAAAAAGGCCATGATCACATAACACAAAAAAATCTCACCATAAACATGCTACCCAAAAGAAAGAGACATCACAATATATTATACCTGATTGATAACTTTTCTGATCCAATATTCCACATATAACTTTGAGAATGGAGTCTGTGTGAGAATTTATTGATTGCAATTTCATAAATAAAAATCCATAAAACAACCTCAACTATTCTAACTACTTTCTTTCAGTATTTTGTAAGACAAAAAGTAATGACAAATGCCATACTGGGAACTTTCATATTATTATTTACAAAAGTTACCACAATTTATTTGAAAAAAAAAATCTAGTACACTTTTCTAAAAACAAAGTAATGTCACTTAAACAAATTAATATGTAATATTTTCCTGTTGGGCAAGTATAATTTGTATTCAATCATGCAATACTCATGAAAGCTGACAAATTAGAAAAAAATTTAATTTTTTTCTCGGTAGACACTTGTATCTAGGAAGCCCAAGTAAGCTGAAAATGTTATAGGTACCATCACTTTCAATGCTATGACACTGGTATCGACTAAATTGCACTGATATACAGTCTAAACAACTAATTAATCATACAGTTATGTACATTTGCATTGCCTTAAAATGTGCATTAAAAATAAAACAATTATATCATGTGACAAAAGGTTAATAATACCATTTTGCTTGAATCTAATTAAACTGAAATTGTGCTGAAATTTTGAAATTCTAAGATGACATTTCCAATAAAAATTCCAAACATTTCATGAATGATATCTAAACCTAAAAATATTTCAAACTGATATAAAATGAAAACTAAATGAGTAGTTATCTCGGAGTCTTTGACCTGTGGAAAAAAAAGTATACTTAAGGAGATTCTTAAAAAGAAAAAAAAAATTCTAATAGCTGTGTGAGATGGAACCACATACACTGAATCTTCACTATAATTCATCTCTTGTATCCGGTCCCAGAATGTTGGGTAACCTTGGTCCCTCTGGTTTGCCTTCTAAATCCTCATTTGAATGATCTTGTTCTTCACTGATCACATGAGAGTCTTCTGTGTCCGATATATAGTTATTTTCCCCTGTATAGTGTGTGGGGAAAACTAACAAAGGAGATGTGGACATTCCTTTGAGGTTCCTTGGTGAAAACTGATTCTTCCATTTTTCCCTATGGGAAAAAAAATACATTTAAATGGTACCAAAAAAATTACTTATGCTGTTCTGAAATAGCATTTCAATCCTGGACCAAAGTGCTCTCTATCCCCAAAGTCTTTCAAGGTATACTGTACATATTTGAAAATTTCCCAAAATCATATAAATTTTTTCTATGTCTCCGTACCATATTCTTCAGAGCTAATAATCTTACCCAACCTAGAAACTATTAAACTTCTTGTATGAAAGTACCTGACATCAATAATTCCCTCTGAAATGTACAGTGTTCTAAATGACTGACCAGACATTTAGAAATAAATCATTAAAATTAAAAGTTGAATAAAACATTAAATCAAAGTCCAGGGACAGGTCGAGCAGTGACTCCTCAGTACAAAAAATTGCTTATAGATTATAATCCCTCATAGAGTACCCTTAATGAAAACCAATAAGATATTCTTACTCTGGATGTCTGTCAAACATAATGGGGATGTATTCATCCACAGGTAACATCTTTCCTAGTGGTTTCTGGTCCAGCAGTTTCTTGACCCCCTGTTGAGAAACCATATAACTGAGTGTCCAGTAGGAATAATCTGCCCATACTAAACTCTGGAAACCATCCACTGGCGGTTCATCAGCATGCCACATCCGTTTTCTACCCAGGTAGCTGTAATGGCATATCAATCTATCAGTGTGTTACATATATTTGCAAGAATCACTACAGATAATTATTTTTTAAATTATATACTTATCAATGTATCAATAAGAAGATAAAACTTTGACTTGCCCAAGTTTGACTAGGTGATATTTTTTTTTAATGGAAAATCATTTACAATTATATGAATGAAACTTGAACAGAAAGGAACAACACCAAAGTGCATATAATTTTGAACCTTGGCTACATAATCTCTCTAGTCACTACAAAGAAAAGGTATAATGTACAGTATCTCTACAGAGAAAGATAACCCTTAAAGTAACATGTTGTTTAACTGCTTTATTTCAGCAAAGCCATTCTATGTAAACAACTACACTTACATTAATTCCCATTCCAGTTTATTGTCTTCAATTTCTTTAAGTAAAGACTGCAGCTTTGTGACAAAGAATGGCTCAAATCTCACATCATCCTCAAACACAAGGACTTTCTGGTAATTGTTTTTTGCTGCCTAGAACAGAAAAACATCAGTATGAATAACTTTTGTCGTCATAAAACCAACTGGAAGGAAAAAAATAAAACAGTATGAATTATGAACTTCAAATATTTAGGACTTCAAAAATTATTTCAACTGAAATTTGTAGCATATAACAACTTGGTTCCATCTAAAAAGAAAAAGCACCCACTGACCCAAAAATTAAGTATATGCAGCAAAATTTAGAAGTGACTGTCTTTTATAATATGAAAATACAGGTAACCTGTATGAAATAAAAATATGGCAAAGTTGTAAAAACCTCTAAGACAATCTCAACTGTTTCTGGGTGCACCTCTCCCACACATTGTTGGTAAAACTATACATCAATAGTATTCAAAATGAAAATCACTTACATCTTCCCAAATGAAATAGTGGCTGAGGAAACACCCAATCTCTCCCATGGTAAGTGGCCTAACAAAAACAATGAGAGGATGAAATACATTTTCCATAAAACATTTTTAGAAATGAAAGCAACATGTAAATATAGAGATTATATGTTAACATCAAATGGCATTATTTGTAAACAATAGCTCAACATTGCATTAATTGATGTCTCTCAATTAAAATACTGCAAAATTAGCCTAGTTTTGGCAAATATGTCACCTGCTCCACTGTCAAATTATGCATTATTCTCATCAAATCAAATTGTTGTAATTATAATAAAAATTGCAAAAAGAGAGAGCATGAACAAACAATTTTGGACTAATAGCACCAAAATGAATGTGATGTGCTTTAATTTGAAATATAATAATGATATCAAAATTGTAAGTGACCAATAATATCATTTAGGTATAAGGCCTCTTCCTCAGTTTTCCAGTGTAATGATTAATTATTAAGTTATAAACCATAATTTTATGCCATGCAATATAAGTTACATGAAAAGCTTAGACGTGACAATGTGGTTTTAAAGAGTTCTAATGCTGCTGCACTGGGATATCTTATATTAACATGTACTGTGGTACCGCTCCCTTCAACATCATTGTGAAAGTCATTTTACTAAACCAAATATAGTTTCAAATCTACGCATGCCTAAAATGCTTCCAATTTTTCTTTTAACAAATTTTGGGTACTGGCCTGAAGTTCTACTCAACCAAATCTGTTGAAAACGGAGCACACCCAATGTTGCCTAGGAGGAGAAAAAATATTTCTACAAAGTACAGCAACAATTGGGCATACCTTCAACCACCTTTGTTGAAGCAGTAAAATAAAAAGGGAAATTTAAGTTGTTAGTAAAATATGAGAAGTTAGTTCCTTCTAAACAGGTAAGCTCCATCTATATTTTCACTCCATCCATGCTGTAAATACGACTAATTCATGTCCAAATGTCATTGTTACACAACATTAATTTACTACACTATTCTGTTCTTACTTAACTATAATTTCTCTTTTTTTATGGTAATTTAAGACAAATGAAAATTTTTATGGGAAATCAATGGAAAGCAATTCAATTCTTTCATCCATTCCCTGTCATTTACCAAATTGAATATATATTATTACCAGCTGACAAAAATAAACATTGCAGCTTAAGCTCAGCAATGCCAAGCCTCTTAGTCCCCAACCTTTACAGGAAGACAGATTCTGATCTGCTCCAGCAAGTATTGCTCACCAACCACATTCAAGCTGCAGTCAGCATTTAGCTATTCTCTGCCATCATATTCCATATCTGTGCCAAAGGTTAATGGTACTGAAGGGGTAAAATTGTGTTAAATTGCGCAGGCATGGGATTTAAAGACGTGTTAACAGCAACAACAGGTATTCAACATACAGGACAGCGGTGACTAAATCTTTTAAGCTCATTCTGTGATTATTGTGGAGACTGAAAGTGCTGATAAAGGCGTTTTTAACAAATCAATTGATGGATGTGATGGATACTTAAGCCATAAATCTGACAAAAAGTGATTTACAAATAACATGCTGAAGCTGCAATAGTCCTGGGAGAAAATAAGTCAAATCTATTGAAATACCTCTGTTCATAGGGCTCAATAAACCCCGGCAGCATGGCAACACCAAGTTTCTTAAGATAAGTGTTATTCAGTTTCCTATTAGGGAAATGAGAGGAAGTGAAGAAGATGATGGAATATCAAATAAAAGAAAAATTGGATGTAAGGATGAAGATCACATTCAGAATCAAGGTCATATATTCTGTATGAAGATAAGTGCTTGTTTGATTTATATTTGTTTGTGCACTTCTCTTCACAGAATGTTGAGACCTTGCTAGTCAGAAGTCTGGAGAACATTGGAAGATGGGCCCAACATTGGTCACTGAAACATTGAAAGTTGGAAAGAATATTGTTTAGATGTTAAAAAGCACATATCTGTCTCTGCCAGGTTTACATTTGAAGTGTTTGTTTCCTCCTGTAGTGGTTCTGCTCTCCAACTTTTCACGAAAATCTGACAAAAATGGTGCTGAAAGTAAGCACCATTGTTCATTTGAAACCTTTGATGCTTTCTCCTCAGGTTTTCACAGCAAGCTCAGTCAGCAGACTTCTCTTCTTGATGGAAGAAGAAATGGTGGAATGGCATGCACTATTTTAACATTTAATGCACTCTTTACCTTTTATGATAAGGTTCTAGAAACCCTTCCAACATTGAAACTCCAAGAGAGTCGAGGTATGTTTGATTTAACTCCCTGAAACACAAAAATAAATGCCAATATCATGCATAGGCACAATAAGAAAATCAATTTGGGTTGGAATTTCACGTCTGGCCCATTGACTTTAATATTTCGACACAATGTTCTGTTAATCATAACTGCCCACACCATCAAAACACGAGATTGTTCAGGATTGATATTCACAATAAATAACATGTTCACACTGAGACATCAAAGATATTTAAATCATTTTGGTAAGAGACATGATAAAATACAGTATAACATCAAATACAAATGGTTGATTTATTGAATGTGAAACTATGTGCATTCTTTTCTATAAACAAGCAAATGAAAAAAAGGCATGCAGATATGAAACTGAAATGAATGAATTAAAGCATGAAACAGAAACAAAGATAAATCTGTTAATAACTTAGTACAAAAAGGAACTTAATAAAATCTTAAAACATCAATCTTTTGAGTACTGATAAAACAGGTCTCAATATAANCAGAAAGGTTAAATTTCACATGAAAATAATATTAATCAAAATAACACAACACTAAATAAGCGATTTCATTCTCAGACAAATGATAATTTTACAAAATATTAATAATTATGTCAACTTACTTTCCATCCACAGCATCAACAATCTTAACCTTGAGACCCAACTCATCCAACGACGCCACCATCCTCTCCCGCCTCTCTGGTCTTCTCACTAAATTGATCATGTATATCTAGTAAAAAAATAAATAAATAAATAAATAAAGATCATAAACTTCCAGAACAAGTGCTCTGTAATATCAATTTTATGAAGGTAAGAATTTGATTTTATGGCTGTTTGAATAAAAAAAAAAAAAAAAAATCCTTGTCACTTGTTTTTCCAAACACCAACTAACAATCATAAACTAAGATNAAAATCAGGTTCGCCAACACATTCTTACAACGGGCTTTGCAAACTACCAATGTCAAATTTTGGAAAATGAAAGGTACCTATGACGCCGCATCTGCCATGGTGTGCATGGATGGCACGCATTTCAACGCTTATGGCCATGCCAGGTTTTGGAAAAACCTCAAGTCTGCTGCTAGCAATATGGCTAATAGTAAGTTGCCTAGTATTTTGCTCCCATCCTAACTGCATGGTTCTATAGGCTCATACATAACCGCATGATACTATTCCACACACACAAAAAAAAAAAAAAAAAAAGATCAAAAACTTCCAAAACAAGTGCTTTGTAAAATCAAATTTATGAAAGTAAAAATTTTATTTTTTGGCTGTTTTAAAAAAAAAAAAAAAAAAAAAAAAAAAAAACTCCTTGTCACTTGTTTTTCCAAACACCAACTAACAATCTTAAACTAAGATAATTCCTATCATTATAAATAAATAAATAAATAAATAAATAAACAGACACTTTTCCCAGCTGCTTTACACATACCTGGTCAAAGCCCAACATTTCTTGGGGTGGATGTTTTTTAGGAAGATGTTTAGTGTGGAGAAATGGTACTCCTTCAACTGGAATTAGATAAAAATTATCAATAAACAATATAAAGTATAACGTATCATAAAGAGAAATTCATTCAAGACAAAAAACATTATCTTTAAAATGGATTCATACAGAAATGAACCAAAAATCAATAAGGGACTTCTCCTTAGGCACAGTTAACTACTAATTTTAAAGAAAAATAAAACTGATCTGGCTTTCTGGACAGGTGTCTCCAATCTTAACGCATCCTTGGAGGTTACAACACATTGTTGAGTAATGACTAACATGTTATCTGCGGTTGACTAAGATTAACAAGACTGCCAGGGCGGAAGTCAACCCCCAAGTCAGGAGTATCAAGTGACCAAAGCACTGGGAACATGTCAGCTGATATTATGCTACATGCTTAACTGGTGCTGTTACAGGCATGCACACAAACAATTCTGTGGCCATAGACCAGAACAGTCAGAAAGACGACCAACTCTTCATTGTTGCCAAGAACATCAAAACACACCTTGTTCAATTAGGGTATAAGACCATATTGTGTATCGGATTCTGGCTGAAAATCTTTTTTTTTTTTCATTTTTTTACCAAATAAACTAGTTAGATTACAGACTGACTCATTCCCATTTACTCTGCCTATCTGGGTCCTTACCTAGGAAATCAGTAAATCTGGAAATGCTAGTTTTGACAAACACTCTACCTTTATAGAAATCATGACGACTACAGCACTAACTTACCTATTTCAATTAATTTATTTAACACATTAGCATTACTGCAGGTCCAAATAAAAACATCATAATAATAATGCATAATTATACAATATAATATAATAATAATAATAATAATAATAAACATAATATATAAACATGAATAAACAGTAAAATAGAAAGAAAAGAAGTTTTTTGTGAGTGTGTCCTATGAAAAAGAAAGGATACACAAAAATTCCCATACCCATAGCTTCCAGTTTGAGGAAAATAAATAACTCGGTTTCTTCTTCTAGAGTGTTGTGAGCATCTAGAGGTGCATTGAGACTGCCATAAAAGTTGACATTTTCAATATACATGGGAACTCCTAAAATAATGGAAAATCTTTTGGAAAAAAAAAAAGGGCAGAAACAATATCAATTAACAGCACATGAGTAATTGCANTGGCGGCGGAGCCGGCGGAGCCGGCGGAGCCGCCGGAGCCGCAGGAGCCGGCGGAACGGACCGGACGGGACTAAAACCATGTGTACCGCCAGCGCTAACGCTGGTGGTACAATAAAGATCATAAACTTCCAGAACAAGTGCTTTGTAATATCAATTTTATGAAGGTAAGAATTTGATTTTATGGCTGTTTGAATAAAAAAAAAAAAAAAAAATCCTTGTCACTTGTTTTTCCAAACACCAACTAACAATCATAAACTAAGATAATTCCTATCATTATAAATAAATAAATAAACAGACACTTTTCCCAGCTGCTTCACACATACCTGGTCAAAGCCCAACATTTCTTGGGGTGGATGTTTTTTAGGAAGATGTTTAGTGTGGAGAAATGGTACTCCTTCCACTGGAATTGGATAAAAATTATCAATAAACAATATAAAGTATAACGTATCATAAAGAGAAATTCATTCAAGACAAAAAACATTATCTTTAAAATGGATTCATACAGAAATGAACCAAAAATCAATAAGGGACTTCTCCTTAGGCACAGTTAACTACTAATTTTAAAGAAAAATAAAACTGATCTGGCTTTCTGGACAGGTGTCTCCAATCTTAACGCATCCTTGGAGGTTACAACACATTGTTGAGTAATGACTAACATGTTATCTGCGGTTGACTAAGATTAACAAGACTGCCAGGGCGGAAGTCAACCCCCAAGTCAGGAGTATCAAGTGACCGAAGCACTGGGAACATGTCAGCTGATATTATGCTACATGCTTAACTGGTGCTGTTTCAGGCATGCACACAAACAATTCTGTGGCCATAGACCAGAACAGTCAGAAAGACGACCAACTCTTCATTGTTGCCAAGAACATCAAAACACACCTTGTTCAATTAGGGTATAAGACCGTGTTGTGTATCGGATTCGGGCTGAAAATCTTTTTTTTTTTCATTTTTTTTTACCAAAAAAACGAGTTAGATTACAGACTGACTCATTCCCATTTACCCTGCCTATCTGGATCCTTACCTAGGAAATCAGTAAATCTGGAAATGCTAGTTTTGACAAACACTCTACCTTTATAGAAATCATGACGACTACAGCACTAACTTACCTATTTCAATTAATTTATTTAACACATTAGCATTACTGCAGGTCCAAATAAAAACATCATAATAATAATGCATAATTATACAATATAATATAATAATAATAATAATAATAATAAACATAATATATAAACATGAATAAACAGTAAAATAGAAAGAAAAGAAGTTTTTTGTGAGTGTGTCCTATGAAAAAGAAAGGATACACAAAAATTCCCATACCCATAGCTTCCAGTTTGAGGAAAATAAATAACTCGGTTTCTTCTTCTAGAGTGTTGTGAGCATCTAGAGGTGCATTGAGACTGCCATAAAAGTTGACATTTTCAATATACATGGGAACTCCTAAAATAATGGAAAATCTTTTGAAAAAAAAAAAAGGCAGAAACAATATCAATTACAGCACATGAGTAATTGCTATGAAACAGTCCATGTATCATTTCAAGAAAAGAAAAACAAAATTCAACAAGGTATTTTGAAAATCCATTTCTTAGTTGTTTCCTTTTAATTAAAAAAAAAATCATATGCAACAGAAAATTGGAATGTATATTTTTAATGCAAGATTACATTTTACAGAAATGAAGAAACGAGTCTTATCCATAAAACCAATACTTACTTGCTCTATTGGCAATTGCCGCAAATATGATGACATCATCATAAGGACCCTCATAACCCTCAGGAGGTGGATAAAAGGCGAGATGCTGGGAATCTTCATTTCGCAAGTTAATAATAAATGTGGAATGTACTAGAGCAACTTTATAGAGTCCCCTCATCTGGCGCATCCGAATAGGCCCATATTCAGGCGTTCGCTTATAATAGCCCTGTAATTGTCAAAAGATTTGAAATCAATTATTTTAAATATAAAGTAAGCTCCAGCTTTGATATTTACAACGAAGACCTGTTAAGATAAATTCCATTTTTTAACTGGACTATGATGACTGCCATAATTGCTGTAAATAGTTTATGTTTGTTACACACCAATTTTCATTTACTGCAACTGAACTGTGTTTGAAATGATTATCAAACTGTGTATGCTGTAAATGACATGCGTGTATTTGTTTCCTTACCGTTTCATCCATGCCACCCCAGAAATTGGAGTACTGGGACGAGGAATTCAGCATTGGAGCAACAACAGTTCTATAAACAAAACAAAAAAGTATGTTAAGTTACCGTCAAATAAGATTCTTTCATTAGCTTAATAACATCATTTTGAAAATGAATGAAATTTGTATTCTTTTAGAAATAATGGAAATATCAAGACTGGACAGAAGGAAAATTGATGGAAACATTAAGAAATTAAAGGAATGCATATTGCTATGGAGATTTCAATTCAAATATGATGCAAAGATATGTAGTATTTTCAATTTAAATATGATACAAAGATATGTAGTATTTTTGTAAAAATTTACAGAACTGTAACAGTTGTCATTGACACTTTATTAGGAAATACAATCACAAATAAAAGTACTCACTGTGAATATGAGGTCAAAACAGATAAAGTCTGATTGTTCTGTAAAATATTGTCTGCATCTACAAACTAAAAGAATTAAACCATGTCATAATTATGCCCAAATATAACAGTCCAAATAAACACGACCAGTACATTATATTTGGTACCCAGAACATTTAACTTTTTGTGACATTGTGTACTTATTGTTTTTAAAGGCAATATAAATCTAAAATTTGACTTTTCAAACATACATAATTCAACGTCTGTTCACACACCAAGCAACTCTGCTTTAAAATACTGCTTTACCCCTGAATAGCCTTCCAAATAATTTTTTTTTACTTTATCAAGTTCTATCCAGGTTTGTGTGCACTGTTCAAACACGTCGAAGTTTACTGTGCATGAAAAACGCCATAAACTAGAGCCAAAACAAGCAGAAAGCAGGATGAAACCTTTCAGCTTCATTTAAATGCTGAATAAAATGCAAAAAAAAAAATTTAAATCAGGTTTGAAAAACTCCACAGAGAAGGTGCCATATTACTTCACTTTTAAATGTTACTGATGAAGAATCTAAAGGTACCTGTATTTCTGAAAAAATATCTTACAGAAATTTGCAGATGAAGTACTTCTTTCTTCACTTCATTAACTTTTGTCCAGGTAGCTTTTTTGTATTTTATAGTATTTTCTATTTTATAATCAAAGAAATTATGAATGACTAAGAGAAGCCTTCATACATTGCTACATTAGCCAGAAATTGGTTTATTTGAATAGCATTGACTCTTCTCTAGCATGCCTGTCCTTTGGTTCGACTGCCTGACCAAATGTCTGTCTGACTGGCTATGTGACTTCCTGTTTGTCTTCTTTCCGCTTTCTTTCTTACTAACTGTCTATCTTCTTGCCTGTTTTCCTTATCTCTATGATCTGTCTATCCTCTTGTCAGTCTTCTATATCCTCTGTCTGTCTGTCCTCTTGTCAATTGTTCATCTTATCTGTCTATCCTCCTGTCAGTCTCTGTCTGTCTGTCTGTCTTCCTGTCAGTCTTCTATATCATCATCTTCATCTACATCTGTTTCTTGTCTACTTGTCTGGTAATTCAAGTGGGACTGATTTCCATTCTAAAGTGGTCTTGGGTAAATGCGCCTAGAGACCATTAAAGTTGTCAAGGGATCTGCTACAGGAGAGAAAATCCTCAATGACTCCTGCCCTTGTTACTCATTCAAGACTGTTTGTACAGTATATATAGTTAATACAGTTTGCTGTTAAGAAGTCTGCTGAAGTAACCAGTTTACTTGATGAAAAATACCAACATGTGTAACGGAAAAATAAGGTTATTGGTAGTCTGGTTTGGATTAAATGACAATACCACGGTGCAAATTTATTTTGCAGAATTCAACATATCACCAAAGAGCTTGATATCCTTTTGTGTAACTTAACTGTTCATTGTGTTCTTTTATTTGGTTTGGTACTTTTCTTTGAATTTCTACCACAGCAAGATGCCCCCTTTTTTCCCCCTCTTCGCTTCAAACAATAACAAAAATTGCACAACAAGTTGACTGCTTTTATGAGGAAAAATATTTAATTGATGCACTTGTGCACACTTTGTTGTTTTAAATGCAACTGCAGGCACTTTGCTCACAGAAGGCAAGAAAGCATGTTATCTTTTTCCACCTGATTTTGTACCCTAACCAAGAAGATTAGGGACTTTATTTTTTTTTTTTTCAGTCTCGTTGATTTTCTCAGCAGTGTAGTCTGTATACCTCCCTTTATTTTAAACATGACAAAATTTCAATGTATGTATAACAGGATTCTGATTCTCTTTTTAATTTTTTTTTGTAAAAAACCTTAAATAATAAAACATGACCCTCTATAAAAATGCAGATTGCCCAGTACTTACAAAAATATAATCTGCCCATATTTTCCTAGCTTTTTCTAAACTTTCCTGCCTGAGCTTCATGACATGGGTAAATCTCTGTGCTGACCACTCCAGCGGCCCCTGGGCATCAGGAAACCCTGAAATGACCGGAAACATTTGAGACTATAATTATATTATACATAAATAACTCATTTCACGTTTTGCTACAGACAGGATATGTCTAACTTTAAGAAGTGTAAAGGACCTTCAAATTCCATTAAAATATATCATTAAGGTAAAATAACTATTTTTGTATTCTTAAAGTTGTTGTTAAAATGCAGTAACAGTGTCACAAAGCAAGAATGAGCAACTTACAGTACTTTTTAAGCTAGCCAGTTAAACAGTTTGTTGATCTGTCAAATGAATTAAAGGTGAACTATGTTTGACATGCACTAATAAGCAGATTTTGATATGCTATAAAAATGGCTTTAAAAGCAGTGATGCAACTAATAGTAGTCTAGATCAAAAAAATCTTAATTCATAAAAAACATGAATATCAATGTAAACATGCAATGCCAATTTTTTTTCAAACATCTTCCATTGGATGTATTACAAATCACAAGCAATATGATATTATGTTCATAAGTTTTTGGTGACCTCTCCATAATTTGTACTTATTTCCACAATCTTCCCTTTAAACAGAAATGGAGTATATGACCCACCAAAAACAACAGACGCTGGCAGGGTTACCCTTTTGGCTTTTTTCTTTTCTGACACAGCAGGAGGCAACAAAACAATTTCCTTCATCATAAAGCTGAATCGCTTTTTAACACTTTAATATGCTTCAAAATGGCGAGTCTGGCTATGAAATGTGACAAAGACGACATAGGTCTCACAGTCAACACCCTAGGGAATGAGTTTACAGCATACTCTTCAACTTGCACAAAGTCAACCTTTTCATTGACTTAACAATTTTTCCTGCCAAGAAAATAACAGATATTTATTGAGACAAGTATTTCCTTAAAACAAGAATCCAATGAGCTGCCATCCTCTGCAGTTATTTCCTGCAATTCTGTTGGCTTTAACCACCCAATTGGAAAATTCCCAAATATAAAACTGGAATCTGGTTATATTATAAAAATCACAGATGTCTTGCTTGTGAAAAAAACTGATACATCATCGCCCATGTTTTCAACTTTAAAGATGTTTGTATTTGATGTTGATATTGATGTACTAGTGAGCTGATATTCTTGAACACTTGTACTCACGACTTGGTAATGGGTTTCTTGTATTATCTTTTGACCTTAAAACAAAGTCATTTTCACTTCGAACAACTGGTTGACGGGGTTATAAACAACATTTTAAAAGTAAAAGTGACATCGGCACAATCCCATTGCCAACAAAAGCATCCCAGGAGACACCAAACCTGGAAAGTGAACTCCACTGCTATGACACGATTAGACTACCAGTTTACAGTGTTGGATAATAAAATTGGATTTTTACAGAACAATGTTTAAGGTTTATATATCTTTATGGTGAATCAAAATTATTATTATCTGATTAATAAAAACAATTAAATCATAAAAAAATTATCACTGCTTCTTGTCTGTAAAAATTAAACATCCTGAGCCTTTATTTTCTTTCTTTCTTGTTCTTTTGGAGTGGGGAGGGACAGAGATTAAAAACGTTAAGTACAGTTGCATTCTGCATTATTTTAAATTACTTTTTTTTTTTCAAATTTTGGGTTCACAGCACTTTGGCATAAAACAACTTTGGCTGAAGTAATACTTCTTACTTAACAACAGCTGTTGGTTGGCCTATCAGATCGGATGAATGAACCCAGTGAAATAGCTTCCAAGACTAACTCATTGTTGAGTTATGTCAACTCTGATAACATTTGGGACATAAGCCAATTTTGTGTGTACTGTCCAAGTTTTTTCACATAGTGTAATGTTCTTGTCTTTTAACCATCTATTTGCCAGGTGTATTGGCTAAAATGTTGTGTTACTTCATGTTGCATTAAAGAATATGGAAAGTGTGAACAACAATGCCATCTTTAATTACATAATATGCATACTAGTAATGGAAATCCACGAAAATTAATTTTCAGTTCTTAACCCTAGCTTGCTCAAGGTCCCCAGGGCTGGTGGCCAATGTTGAAAATTTCAGTTGCATGCTTCAAGAAGATCTTATGGACAAATACACAGGACAGTATGAATGTGTACATGTACCTGTATATATATATATACATACAATATATACACACTGTGCCAAGCAAGGGTGTGGAATCCTAGCAGCTATACATTCCAGGAAATATGTGGTGTCTCTCATGATGCAACTTGGACCTCAACCATTAGCTTTTGTATTAAGATAAGGTATATCTTTTTATAGGACAAACACTGAGAAAAAAAATATGGGCAAACAGGTTAACTATTTTTCCAAAAAGGTTGAAAAGTACTTGACTTTCTTATTCCATCCCAAATAAAATAAAATAAAATAAAATAATCATAAAAGCCAAAAGACTGACACAAAAAACACAAAGGGAAAGCCTATGTATTAGACTTTTTAAAGTTGTTGATGATCTAGGTCCAAGTTGCCTCCATGTTAGGTTGCTTTCTGTCTACAGCATGCAATATGGTTCCTCACATACCTCTGCAGTTTTGGCAATGATTACTTGTCCAAATGTAACTTGAAACACCATCAAGGTAACCGCCCGTCCCATTACCTGTTTGCACATTGTCATCGTCATCTGCCTTGAAGTCCACAGAGTGATACTGTGAATAAATGTGCTGCAGCCACTCTCGCAACATTTCTGCGGTTTTATCCACATTGTGATCTGTTCTTATCCTGAAAAAACAAATTTGTTTAAATTTCAGAATTGATGGTGCAAGTTATCATAATTTCGATATATCTGAACATTTATATTTTTATAAAATCTTTACATCATTTGACTAAATGTCTGCTTCAGTAACACATTGATAATTAACCCAGGTTCAGGGCAGCAATATTTTGCCAAAATACATAAGAAAAAGCATATTTCTGTTTGCATTTCAACACTAAATTCTCAATTTTACTTTTCAACATTAAACTCATAATTTTATCTCCAATATGCCTCTGTTCTGTGTTCATACTTGACTTGGGCAAAAAAATCTTCTTAATTCAAATATTGATACTGAACAATAATTACACTAAAGCGCGTCTCTCTGTGTGATTTTATAAATACAGTACATAGTTTTAAATCAAATCACGCAGAAGAACACACATGCACAAACTTTATGTGGAGGTACTAGTAAGAAATGGGGGAAAAAAACTTCAAAGTAAAGCTCATAAACTTTTTAAATCTTTATGGCTTCATTTTAGACACTGATATTTAGAGACTGGCAAATTAATGCATCTTGACTCATTTTCGGTTGAATAAACAAATGAAACCACATGCTAATGAACATTCTGTTTCAAACTTTTTCTGAATGTTGATCAATAACATTATATATGGTGTCAATTCTATTTCACACACAAATTACCATTAAGAATGTTCAGACATCTTTATCTGAATGAACAAAATTAATACAGATGAATTAATTAACAAAATATAAAATCTATTTTATACCTTATTGGACAGACACATTACCCTTGTGGCAGCCTGAATGGATTTTTTTTTTTTTTGATCTTACAAGTGCAATGTTATTTTTTTGCCATCTGGAGCAAAGTTATGGACTAAGCTGAACAAAGTATCGCTAAGTATACAGTTCCTTCCTGGAGGATTTTGTTAGAGCTTGTGTGTTCTTGTTCTTCACTAATTTTTCACACATGAGCAAATATTTCAAGTCTCAGTGGCCCTTAAACAGACATGCTACTACTATGGGAAAAACATCTTCCTAACCATTTAACCATTCACAAGACAACAGCTTCCTTTCTTTCTACTACAAATCAATGAGTGAATCATGGTCATAGAACCTGAACAAATTTTATACAGTTCCAAGTCCACGAAGAACTACTTTTAGAGCAAAAATTTTTTTTGCTATTTACCTCCGCCCCCCCCCCCCCAAAAAAAAAAATATATATATATCTAAAAACTTCCAAAACAACTGCTAATGCATACCATTTTTCAACAGTGATAGGAGGTTTTATTTATAAGTGCGGTTTCATCAATTTAATTTAAGATTTATCAAAGGGAAATTTCTGAGGTTCAGTGGTTACCCAAAGCCAATAACAAATCCATGAATTAATAAAGCCAGCATGAAAGAAGCCTCACTGAACTGTGTACAATAGACAAATCTGGCAGTCGCAAACTCTTATGTTAAGAAATTTGGGGGAAATATTGTAATCAGTCTTGGCCCGTTGCAGGGCACACTTCAACTGCACATTTCATACCCTGATAACAACTTCCAGCTCAAGGCAATTCAGGAAAATAATGGATCTCTCAACTGAACATGCCTTCTTGACTTCGGGGGTAAAAAAATATTCAGATCACAGGTTTGTTTGTTGACTCAATTTCACACAGACTACAATACTACATTTTTTTTTCATCAGAAGATACTTTTGTTTTTGGGTTGAAGAATTTTCTTCACGCATTTTTTTTCTAAAGACGTACTAAATCAATAACTAAAACTGCATTATAAGCTGCAATTTTAACCCATTTTTCAATCATCTGTATAAAAAAGTTTAATGATGAAATGTTGTAACAAACCTATACCATGTGTTCTACACCATCCCCTGAGGTAATTTCAATTAACAGGGCAGCTTATGTTGTTCCATTTTTGAAAGTTCTACACGACACGACACGTAGACTGTGAATGTCAATGGGAGAGTTTCATTTAGATTGGCCTCAAACAAATTGTATCCTCGAGTGATCCCAGCATGAACTTATCTAATGTCAGTTGATTAATTAAAAAAAAAAACTAGTTTGAAGCAAGGTAGAATTTCCATTCTTCCAGAGTACCTGGTGACAATGTTGAGAACAGCAATTCACATGCTTTATAACAAAAACATCTTTAATTTTAAAAATAATTTGATTAGGAACATTTTAAACACTATTTGCATTACATTATTATGACTGGAATCAACTAGACTAGGTATAAAACAAATCAGCCACAATTTTCAATTAAAAAAAAACTGTTAGTCTCAATGTGTCTTCACTCAGGCAAAGCAGACAGACTCCTGTGATGTCTATTAGTACAAACTGACACAACAGCAACTGTACATAATTAGAAAGTTTTCAGAGATCTGCTGGGCTGTCTAAATCCACCTACATCATTGAAATAATCATGGTCAGAAACACAATATGAATCGGCATTTGGTACAGATTCAGTGGTTTACTCTATCAACATCTTTAATAAAAATAAAGCACCACCACCACAGGGTGCTGTAACAAAATGTGTTTTCATGTGGTTTTGTTCCACTCTATGGTGTTGATCCCTGACCAGTGGCTGCTACCCTGAGGTTCAGAGATTTCAATGGAATCTCCCTTACGTACAAGATAAGCTTTGGCTTAGCTGCTTTCTGTACTGGTGATGGAAAGCATAAAGTGGAAAGAGGAGAGTCGGTGCCCCAAGTTAGAAAGGCAGGGTGACAGGAAATGTATTCTGTAACAAAAGTAATGTCACTGCCAGTGCTCTAAAATTAAACGTGAATGAAGTACCACCATACTTAAAAGAGAGAGAAACACTCTCAGTACTCTGTATATCACAGTGAACATTTCAGTATAGACAGCCACATTCTTTCCTCAGAAACTTAGGGTGATACAGTTCAATGGTAACAGCTTAAAAAACAAAAGTTTCTTTAATCATAAAAAAATATAATAGCAAGAATGTACGTCCAGTCCTAGTTCAGACCTAGAGCAATACTGAGTCCTAGTTAAGACCCATACATTGGAAACACTTGTCTCATCTAAGTTATTGAACAATGAAAGAGCTAGTGTGTGTGTGTGTGTGTGTGTGTGTGTGTGTGTGTGTGTGTGTGTGTGTTCTAAATAATATCCAGAACTAGAAGAAATGAAAAAAGTTAAACAATGATCACAATCTATAGTTAAATGCATTCTTTAAAAATATATATATATAGATAGATAGATATGAATCCCAGCAGGAATATTAGTTACACACAGGTCTGGCCAGACAAACCGATCTGAAGACATCCATACGTGGCGAGTATGTCTAGTCATGTTATTAGGGGAATTAACGAAATATGACAAACAGAAAATCCCACACTGATATTCTGAAAAGTTGAATACTTTCCATCCGGCTTTCAGATTTCAAATTTGTAAACCATATCTAATCAAAAAATGTTTTTGTGTTCATATTTATTTACTCCAAAGCATCTGTTCAGGGGAGAATCCAGGATTATTTGAAGGAGGGGGGGGGGGGGGGTCCACGGATGCAAAGTCGACCCTCCCCCCATATTTGTCTGCCTCCGAACATAGCTTTCTTTTAATTTGCCAAAGTGGGATAAACCAAACCATTAGTGAATCTAATGTCAACTTACAGAAAGTCCTTTACATGTTAACAGTCAATTTTTTACAAAGATGGAGTTTCACTCATGTTGACTTATTCTTTAAATTAACTAGTTTCATGACTACAGACATTTTGCCTTTTCCTCAATTTTTGGAAATGTGTATATAATATGTAATGTTTCCAAAATATATATATAAAGCTTTTAGCAACATTTAAAAAGCATCATACCTAGATACTTAACACAAATATTATACTTTATTTCAAAATAATCATGCCTACAGACTTGCAAAGCACTTTCACAGACAGATGTTTATTTTTCTTGCATGTTTACCAGTCATCTAAGGCTACATACAAGGAACAGCCTGAATGCCTTCTTTCTTTAAAACTCTTTGGTATCACCTGCCACCACATATTTAGTTATTCCTCATGTAATACTTCATGACTACCAAGTTATGAATTTTCTTTTAATACAAATAACACAGCCAAGTTTATCGTTTTCAGACAGAGATCATAAGACTTCATATAGTTAAGTTTTAATATCTGTCATTACAGACCGTATTTTTAATCCCCTTTTGGCATGAAACATGCAAAGTTCCATGGTCTTTCATCTTTGGAAGTGAACCTAAAAAATTAAGTATAAACCAAAATTTTTTTCATAGGCAATAAGCGTGCACTTGCTCATTAGCTGTCTTTTAACCATGACATCAAAACACTACAATTTAGAAGACACAACCCCTTATATAAGTGATTTCCATCTGAGACTGCCTTCAAAAATCTGAGTAAACACTACAGTTCTGCATGAAAAAATACCAATTACAGTTATTAACAGTGATACCCAAGAGTGTGTGAAGCCAAGTGCTGGTTTACAAAATATTCATTATTATATTCAGCTGATCAGAAACTGGGATAGGGACATCCTTAGCAGAAAAGATTTTCATTATCTTTTAATGTTCTTTTTAAATGGCCTTTGCTAAAGCCTGTAAGACATGCAACATCCTTTTTAAAGCAACAGAGTGACTATCCTTGTTTAAAATAAGTTTTATTAAAGGTAAAAGACAATAAAGACATGTAAATGTGGACCTTGATTAAGCCAAGCAAAATTGTCTTAACTAGATTTACACCTGTATAAAAACTGTGTAAAAACTAATAAAATATAATCACTTTTTTATAATTGATCAAAAATTACTTTGGGGCACATAAATGATATTTTTAACCGGTTTTTTCAACACAGTGTTCCTTTTGCAGATAATAGGGTTATTTAAAAACAAACACAAAAAGGAAAATGCATCACAATGATTCTTTCTCTGAAATCCTAAACCTCTCCAATAAAACATATGGTGGAAAAGGCAAATGGTGCCTGAGCTCTGTAGTATAGGGGGTACAATAAATTGGTCAAGCTTC